TGAAAAGTTTATTGATGTCCTATGTTAAAACTGTTCAATTTGTTGATTGATATTATTTTTTGTCACTTTTGTTTATCTATTAGTTTGGCCAATGTAAACATATGTTTCCCATGCCAATAAAGCCCTTAAATTGAAATTTAATTGCTCGAGAGGGAAAAAGAGCTGGGGAGGGAGAAAGTGACAGGGGAATAGAGAGATGTGTGTGTCTCTTCAGGAGAATGGACATAAAAGAAAATGTGTTTCATGTTTTGAAGTGATAATGATCTGCTTTATTCTTTGTGCTTTCTCTTTTAATTCAAACCACTCGTCAGCCCATTTGTCAAACACAATATTTCGGGAAGGAGAATCGTTTTTCCTATTCATCATGAATAGCTAGCACCCAATGTCTGTGTTCTAATTTCTCAATGGCTGTATTACCAAAGTAATCTACTGGACTGTAGTACTGATGAAATCAACCAGACAATCGTGAAAGCATGAAGCATGAAGAGTATACACTAGCATCCTTATACTATAATGTGCACTTCCACTAGAGAACCGCCATCATTAACATTCTCCATGTTCCCTGCCTGCAGAAGAGTTTGTATGACGCATAGAGTAAACGATAGAGTAAACAGATGGACATGCAAAAAATAGTATCGAAGTAGCGAGATGGAGTAGGAGAGAGAGAGAGAGAGAGCGCGCGAGAGAGGAGATGAGATAGAGATATAGAGAGGAGAGAGCTAGAGAGGTCTCTATATCGATTTCTAGATGAGCTAGCGCGCTATCTCGATATCTATATTCTCTGTATCTCTCTCTCTCTCTCTATCTCTATATCTCCTCTCTGCTCTCTCTCTCTCTCTCTCTCTCTCTCTTCTCTCATATCTCCTCCACGTCCGGGAAACGGGAAGATCTCAACATTGTGTTGTGACTCTCTGGTCATGACTGTGTGCTTGGTGGGAGTGAGAGCGGCCGGTGACATAATAAAAGGTTAACTTGGTGCCACGGAGCATTGAGCTGTACAGTACATGGACATATTTATTTGCCTGGGAACCACCCGTTAACACACACACGCACACACACACATACACATACACCTCCTCTGGGCTCTGTACATTAAGCGTGACTCCTAAAGGTAATTGCACAAGAGCAACATGCGAAGTAACATCCTCACAGCAGAGAGAGAGAGGACGGATGGTGAAGGTGGAATTTTGTTTGAAATTCATCAAATTTTTATCCAGTGCGTACATTTCCATATTTCCATATTTATCTCTCCACACTGTGCTCCTAGCATCAATCCACTTCCTCCGTGCATACATTTGACTATAAATAGTCCCACCTCCCCTCCCAAATTGTCCATAGCACACGCACACACACACACACACACACACACACACACACACACACACACACACACACACACACACACACACACACACACACACACACCTACTAGCTGCCCCCACTCTCACAAACAGGATAGTTGACAAGCCCCAATCAGGTTGTGCATTCAGAAACACGTGTATCCATCCCAGGGTAGATACGATACGGCTCCTTCTGAATCACTGCCTTTCCGTCACACTCCACAAATTGAGTGTCTGAATCAGGCAGAGAGTAGGGGAACCAGGGAAGAGCTGGAGATAAGATGTGGGATTCATACACAAACACACATACACGCACACACAAGCTTGCATACCACACACGTGTGAATACACACCCCACATACACACACACACACACACACACACACACACACACACCAACACCATCCTCCCTTCTTCTCCATAATGAAACAGTATATTTATTTAGAGCAATGTGCACAGCCAAAACATCTCCAGTCAATCGCTCTGTCTTTTCCTCCGCATGGCTGTCAGTCTCTCTCCTCCCAGAGATAATTGCTGCCCATACCTGAGCTGAGCCTCTGTAATGTAATGACACACACATACACACACACACACACCACACACACACACACACACACACACACACACACACACACACACACATACACACACACACACACACATACACACACACACACACACACACACACACACACACACACAAACAGAGTAATGTAATGGCTTTTGGATGAAGTATTGACCACTGCTGGGGTTTGATTAAGGTGCTGTAGGCCAGAGCATGTAACTGAGGAATAAGCATTGTGGTCCGCACGTGTGTGCAGAGATTTTTCTGCCACTGTATTCCTTGGGTGGGCCGCCTAAGCGTTTTTTTTTGTTGAGTCGCCTAAGTCCAAACAGTGTAAAAAACAAATAACAATATTAATATTTTTTGGGTTAATTCATTTTCGGGATGGAAAAACGCTTTGAGTGTAAACTTAAATGACTAAAACCCTATATAAAGTATGTAGAAAAGATAATGGATCTATATATTTTTGTAAAATAATATAATCGTTGAAAACCATCACCAAAAAAAACAATGAATTTAGCAGTATTACTTTTGTTATTATGTTTGAGTCAAAGGAACACAGCATTAGCCATGGCAAAATACATAGAATTGCAGGAAACTAGCTTTTAAACTGCAAAATGTTCTCTCAGCTTCATGGAAGAATATGCAGAATCGCAGGAAATTTGCTTTAAAACTGCCACCATTTATCTCAGCTGCATGGCAAAAAGTGTAGAATTGCAGAAAATGTGCTTTAAAACTGCAATAATGTATTTGAGCTCCATGGTGAAATTTGCTTAACAATTTTTTTTTTTTACTACAGAGCCAATATAGGGGCCTCAAATGTAGCCCGGGCCGACGTCCGACCGCGCCCCCTACCACGCCCCCTGCCACAACCACCACCAAAGCCCCTTTTTGTTCCTGAAAACCCCCTGGTGTATGTGTTTGCCTGTGTGCACTCCTGCGTGTGCGTGCATGCGTATGTGTACGGTGCGGCCAGTATGCTCCCTAAATAGGTCCTGGGGCGTAACTCAGAGGGAGGACGATACTGGCAGTCTGAATTCAAGGCATGCATCCATTGATTAACCGCTCCAATTCAATGCCTAATATCGTTTTCTCAGCAAATGTTTAACAGTGGAATGAAAATAGTTGTACATGGAGATTGAGATTGAGAGATAAGCACAGAACGTCATCCGTAATCATTTAGGGTATTTTAGCATGATGGGATAACTTGGTTTTTCCTTAATCAATTCCATTTAAATTGCCTGTTCGCTTACATTGAGAACTGATTGCATCTCAGAGGGAGATGAAAAGGGGAAATGGACTAGCCCCCTTTTAGTTTATTTGACTGTGCAAATGGACATGATCTTAAAAAGGTGAGCATTAGCATGCTAAAAGACAGACAGAGTTATGATGAACACTTATTTGCCAAGGCTTTAATCGTCAGGCGAGTTAGATTATTAACTTTGAATCCATTTAATAAACCGCGAGCGCTTTGCTCAAATAGCTAACTGTCAGACAGACGGGGAAAACTTCGCTCTGATGTGTTGGGAAATGGGGATGAGGAAACAGAGATATTAATTTACTGATCTCCTGTTAGGGACAAGAGGGCAATTAAATCGTATCTTAAAGAGTGATAGGCATCAGGGAAGTGTTTGCGGAGGATATTCGAGATTTTTTGCGGACCTTTCCCATGTCTGTCTTACAGTACTTTCACTTTGAAGGCTGTGCATGCTAGCTCATTGATTAGGAAAGTCGAGGGGATGTATTGATCCTGGAGTTCATGTGGAGGCAGGAGATCTGAGAGTCTGTGTGTGCGTGCATGTGTATTTGGACCTCTGTCGAGCTTGTCTTACTCTTTACCTCACTTTTCAACTCTATCAGGCTGCCTGCAGGTGACATATCTGCAAAACGACTATATTTGTGTTGAATGTGTCTTTCTTGTTTATGATAATGAAGCCATTTGATTGATTATTTATTGGATTGATTACTTGCCTTATCGACCAATTAATTGATTGTACTCTACCCTTTTGTCCTAAAAGAGTAAATTGGGGTCATTGAAATACAATAAAGTATGATATCCGTGTTAATAATCCAAATGTCATATTGGTTAGCTAGCCACTCAATTGATTTCTCAATGGATTCATTACTTGCACGATTGATGGATTGATTCATTCATTGATTCATGAATTCATCAATGGATTTACCTCTCCTCTTCCTCTGTTCCTCTCTGTCTCCAGACCTGGATGACCCTTTAGTGACGGTGCACCAGAGTGTAGGAGAGGCCAAAGAGCAGTTCTATTACGAGAGGACAGTGTTCCTGCGCTGCGTGGCCAACTCCAATCCCCCAGTCCGCTACAGCTGGCACCGCGGACGAGATGTCCTCTCACAGGGTTCCGACAAGGGAGTGGAGATCTACGAACCATTCTTCACACAGGTAAGGGGGAGGCAATATACTACACTTACTGTATATCAGGGTGGGGTCAATGTAGAGATCTCAATATACTATAGACTCTGGGTGGGGTGACCCCTGGGTGTGCTGAAATATACTTATATAAATAAGGGTGTCCCCAGAGACTTCTATGGGAAAGAGAGAGGGAAAAAGAGGGAATGAGAATGAAAGAAAGAGAGAGAGACAGAAAGAGGTAGGGGAGAGAGCAACAGAGTGCACTATCAGAGATGATACAAGCAAGCGAGCCTGAGGTTGGCTGCCATTCTGAGTCTCCAGTTCCCTCATTTTCCTCTCCCCTCCTAGTCCACCTCTTCTTTTCTCTGTCCTCTTCTCTCATCTTCCCTTCTCTCTCTTCCCTCCCTCCTTCTTCCTTCCCTCAGCCCAACAAGCGTTTGTACTGAGCAGAGATAAAACACAGGCGTGGCATTTCAAACCCAGCATGGGAATGTGGCCCGGTAATTAGCCAGGAAGTGACACACTTTCATTGAGGGCTCCCTCCTCCTCCTCCACCTCCTCCTCCTCCTCCTCTCTTCCCTCCTCATCTCCCTTCTCTCCCTACCCCTCTTCCCTGCCTTATTCCCTGTGGCAAGCACGAGAAGAACAGAAAGATCAAGGGATGCGTTTAAAATCACCGTGTGTTTTCCCCATTGTTAAATACCAGCTTACCGTTTCTCTCTGGCGAAGGTTAGGAGGAGAGGAGAGAGGGATTGTGTTAGGGGTGGAGAGGAAAGGGGGATGGTGTTAACTTGTGTTGGGAGGTCATTTTAGACCATGGTGACCAGGTCTTGTTGAGGTCGGTGGTGGAAACTTTTCTGGCGTGTGTGTGTTGATCACACAGCTGTGTCTGTGCACCCAGACCAGCAATCAAGCAGTTTCTTCATCCATTCATTCACCTCTGGGGGCGGCAGGTAGCCTAGCGGTTAAGAGCATTGGGCAAGTAACTGAAAGGTCGCTTGTTCGAATCGCCAAGCCGATTGTTGATGTGCCCTTGAGCAAGGCACTTAACCCTAATTGCTCCTGTAAATCGCTTTGATTAATTCCTCCATCCAACCCTCTCTCTTACAGCCCCTCCTTCTCTTTCTATCCTTTACTCCTTCATCCCTCTTTTCATGGTTCCCTCCAATCTGTTACATCTCTCACACAACCCTTCATCTTTCATCCATCCATCCCTCCAAATGTCTTTTCTCCATCCTTTTCATCAACCTCTTTCATATCCTTGTCCATCCCTCTCACCAATCCCTTACATCTCTCCCACCTACTCCATTCCTTCCTCCAACCCCCTTGTCTTCCAAATATATTTGTATTCCTATTTGTCTCCCACTATGTTAAACTCAGGCTTGGATACGTTACTTTCTAAATGTAATCCGTTACAGTTACTAGTTACCTGTCCAAAATTGTAATCAGTAAAGTAACTTTTGGATTACCCAAACTCAGTATCGTAATCTGATTACATTCAGTTACTTTTAGATTACTTTCCCCTTAAGAGGCATTAGAAGGAGACAAACATTTATGTTACCAATTGAATTACATCTATTACAGGATAAATCAATGTTAAAGCTTACATAGCTGGCCATATATGGATGTTAAATTTTACTTTATGGGTTGGTTATGTAGGATCCTTCTAACCCATCACTTTCTACTTGTAGCTCCTCCAGTGACAGGCATGAGGCAAGAGGTCTTGATTTGAATACAGGGCTTTAATGCTGGTCAACCCGTGAGAACTGGTTTAAAGAAAGAAAAAATACATTAACAAAATAATGCCATATGCATGTCTCACACATCTGGCGTTATAATCAAGCTCATACAGCTAGACACTTTATGTATATTTTACACCAAAAAATGACGCACGTAAACACAAACACTCTCATAGCAAAATAAATAGTCAACAAACCTCATTGCTGCTTATCACACAGAGGTGCTAAACATCCTTTTAAATGTCCTTTATCTTCTTCTGTATACTTTCTTTGTAAGTATGCACTTAAACACGATAACAGTGGAAAAATAATTCGCTTTTTGCGGTAAAGTTTCCTCGGTGCGTCGCTAAAGGCGCTCGGGTGACAACACTCGGGCGGAACCAATAATTAGTTCCGTCTTGCTGTAAACGTACAATTCAGAAGAAATTAAATAATAAAAAGTGCAAATACATGAAATAAACTAAAGTGCTAATACATGAAATAAACTGGCGACAGAGGCAGTTACACTCCCACCAAATCACATGTGATTTCTTAAAACTTGGAGACAAACCTACTGCATGAATAAATTAAATGAAACTCTGTCCTAATAAACAACTAATAAACTGTGTGTGAGTGTATGATAGAACCATCAGTCTGCTTCTAGCAATGTAACTGTTTTCTGAATGGGTCTCTCCAGGTAAACAGGTTTGGCTGTACGCTTTCCTCTTCCATCCAGGGAGGAGTCACTGATGAGTAACTTGAGTCTCCTCACTCTTTCATCACTTCCAGGATACACCTCGATGACTCTTGCTAGCTTCCATTGGTTTTGTGGTGTGGCAGCATCTTGTAATAGAACAATGTCACCGACCTTTGCATTTCTGCGATCTTTGGTCCACTTCTGTCTGTGTTGGAGATTCAGGAGATACTCCTTTTTCCATCGTACCCAAAAGTTGTTGGTTAAGAGTTGTTAAGAGTTGAACTCTGCGCCATCTTTTGCGGAGGTAGAGATCCTCCTTGACAAACTTTCCAGGAGGAGGGAGAATGATTGTGGATTTCATGGTCAAGATGTGGTTTGGTGTCAAGGGCTCTGGACTGGTAGAATCGTTCAGATGATCAGTGGTTAGAGGTCTGCTATTCACAACCACCATAACCTCATATAGAAATGTTCGTAGGGAAGAGGAGTCAAGTTGTCTGGACGACTGTTCTAGAATGGACGCCAGGACACTTCTGTTGTGCGGATTTGTCTTTCCCAGACTCCACCCATATGACTTGAGGCAGGGGTGTTCATGATGAACTCGCAGCCCAAATCTTTGAGCTCTTCTTGATCCATCTCTTTCAGTGCTTCAATGAACTCACGCCTTGCTCCGACAAAGTTTGTCCCTTGATCACACCTTATCTGCCTTACTGATCCACGAATGGCGATGAATGAACGCAGAGCATTGATAAAGGCATCTGAGGTCAAGTCATCAAGTGCTTCAATGTGAACTCCTCTTGAACACATGCAGGTGAGCAACAGCCCATAACGCTTTAGCTCCTTTCTTCCTTCCTTAATGTGAAATGGTCCGAAGCAGTCCATTCCACAGTAAGTGAATGGAGCAGTTGTTTCCATCCGCTCTTCTGGAAGGTCTGCCATCCTTTGTTGCTCTGTGCATCTTCGGAACCTTCTGCAACTTGTGCACTTGTGAATATGGGATGAAACAAGCTTGCTGCAACCCAGGATCCATATGCCATTGGATCGGAGTTCATTTATAGTCATTCCTCGACCTTGATGGTACACTCTCTCATGATAGTGCTTGACGAGCAATGCAGAAACATGACTGTTTCTAGGAAGTACTGCTGGATGCCTCACATGTGGATGTAGGGCAGCATTAGCTAAGCGGCCTCCTACTCTGATTACACCTTGATCATCCAGGAACGGACATAGTTTGTGCAACTGGTTGGCTTTGTCTTTGACCTTTGTCTCCTTATGATGTCTAAGGCGTTGAATTTCTTGAGAGAGAGTTGCTTCCTGGACCATCTTGATTATGGTCAGCTCCGCCTCTTTCCTTTCCTCCAAGTTCGAGGCCTCACAGGACTTTGGCTTGAGACCTTTGATTTCCTTAGCACGGCGCTTGAGTCTGGCAACAGCCTTCACCATTCTTGCCCAGTCTGAGAACTTGTGTAGACGATCTAAAATTGTTTTTGCTTCTTCTGCCTGAGTGTCATGAACCTGAGCTTTCTTGACCTCTGGGTCACTGCTCTCGATCTCTCCCACCATGACAACTCCAGTTGGTAGCTCTTTTAGCCAAAGAAGGTCTGGACCTGTGAACCAGTTAGAAGCTGTGAGTTGTTCTGCTGTGACACCCCTTGAGGCGTGGTCAGCTGGGTTGTCTTCTGAAGCTATTGTCTCATCCATAAAGGTCTTATAGTCTCTGCAGTACTGCTCATTTCCCTTTAACTTCTTCTCCAGACATCTGAGACGGTGGATGCCACATACCTTGTTATCTGGTAAGTTTGGTCTTCCTTTCTTGAAGGGAAGTGGCATTTCATAGTGCCCATCATCCTTGAGTCTGATGCCACTCTCCATAATTGACATGAACTGGAGATCCTCTTGAGAAAGGTGTTCATCTTCTGAAGCCCTTTCTACAAAATCAGATTCCAACACCTTGATGACGTCTGTTGGAAGGACTACTTCTTTGATCTGTGTTCTACAGACATAGTGCACTTCGTTTGGGAGATTTGGAAGAACTGATGTCACTTGCTTCACAATGACTTGATGGCTTATTCCAAAGGCATCTCCAAAGTCAAGACATGGGTTGCCATAGCCGACTACACTCCAACCCAAGTCTGTTCTCTGAGCAAAGGGCTCATTTTCTTCTCCAGCAACCACTTGTCTTGGTACAAGAGCTTGAGGACAGTTGTAGCCAATTAGTAGGCCGATGTCACAGCTCTGCAGAGGAGCAATTTCATCTGCAATGTGCTCAAGATGAGACCATGCCTTGGCAGTCTCTGGTGTGGGAATATGATCTCTGTTTGCAGGGATGAATTCTCTTGAGTAAGTTACTGGCAGGTAGATTATCTTATCGGAGTAGAATCCTCTTATTTGTAGATCAGTCAGCCTTCTGCTAGGCACCACTGTATTTCTTGAAGCTATTGTGGAGAGCTTTAACTGGACTGGTTCATTTTTAGTGTGAAGCACCTTTGCTGTCTCTTCAAGGATGAAGGTCGTGTCACTCTGTGTATCGAGAAGAGCGTACACAAGAACTTCATGATTTGGCTTACTTGTAGTGGACAACCACACAGGAATGACTGAGGATGTATGGGTGCCTTTAACATTCTGGATAACTCTGTTAGATGTTACCTCGCTTGGTGGTTTTGTCACCCTCTCTTGTGAACGATCTGTCGTTCCTTCTCTTGACTTGTCACTCTCCATTTCTCCATCAGTCCTTGTTGACATTCCTCTTTCTTTGCTGCGATTATCGTGTAGGCAGGTTGGATGTCCTTTCTCACAAGTATCACAGATCCTTCTATTTTCACACTCCTTTGAGCGATGGCCAGGCTTCAGACAGCCAAAGCACAACTTCATCCCTTGAACAAACTTGACTCGCTCAGAGATGGTTTTATTCATACATTTCCAACACTTGTGTAGACTGTGACCTGACTTCTCACAAAAAACACAGCTTGTGGAGGAAGCTTTTTCATCTGAGTTAGTTGCTAGTACCTTTGCTCCGAGAGCTCTGTTCTTTAAAACCTTGATCTGCTCACCTTCAGCAGGTTTCAGAGCATGGAGAGATGTTATTGGGTTATTTGCAATCTTAGCTTCACGTGTGAGAAACTTTACAAACTGCTGGAAGCTTGGGAATGTGTGACTTTCTTCCTCCACTTCTATGACCTTTCTGTTCCATCTCGAGGTCAGCCAGTCTGGAAGCTTTGCAAGTAACTTCTGGTTTTCATTGCAGTCATTAAGTACTTTCGAGGCCTCTGATCTGAGTCATAGCAGCCTCACAGCTCCGAAGAAAATCAGCAAACTCTTGAAGTTCGATACTGCCTTTGGAGCTTATCTTGGGCCATGCCTCCAGCTTATCTCTGAATGCTTTGGCTATGAGGAATGGATTTCCATATCTTTCCTCGAGAATCCTCCATGCTGCGTGATAGGCTGACTCTGAACCAAGCAGGAAGTAGCTCTCTATAGCCTTTTTAGCAGGTCCACCCACATACTTTCGCAAGTAATATATATTTTCTTCGGCTGGAATGTTTTTCCGATCAATGAGTGTCTGAAATGAAACCTTCCAGTCATTGAATCTGAGTGGGTCGCCATTGAATATTGTTGGTTCAGGTATAGGAAGACGACCTGCACTGATGGACTCTGCAAGTGCTCTAACAAGAGCTGCTGTGCTGTCATCCTGCTTTGAATGTGCCCGGTCTTGTGGTGAAGAATGGTGCTGCAACATATTATTTTCATGTTTAACTTCTTCCTTTTCCTTCATACAGACACTTTGATGGAGTAGACTGCTTATTTCTTTATCTGAGCACTCACTCTGATCATACACTCGCTGACGTGCCTTAGCAGCCTTTAACTTTTTAACTGTCTCTAGTCGCTCCAGTTGTCTCCGCTTTGCATCTAGCACCTTTTGTCTCTCTGCAGCTTCAGCTTCAAGCCTTTCCAATTCCTCAATGCAACACTCTTGTTCTAGTAGTACTTCTAGAGTAGCTTCATTGGCAGCAACTTCAGCAGCGGCATCTTGTCTGCTAACAGAAATCTGACTTGAATGTCTGGAGCTGCTTTGAGCATGAGAGGACTTAGTGCATTGGGATTTGATACTTATCTTGTCTGAGGCTACAGACTTGAATATAGACGATGTCGCCCTGTTGCCTCGTTGTTCATCTCCTCCACCGTTATCTGCTGTCTCCAAACGATCTTTTGCAGTTTGGATGATCTTCCTGGTTACTGCATCACAGGTGTCAATTCTGCGACGTGTGTCATGGTCAGGGTTGTCTATGCGCCTTAACTCATCATAAGCAATGTTCAGATTCTCTGAGGCAGCACTTATTTTGCTTATGTGTTCATGTAGCAGGTTGTTTGAGCATTGTCCACTCAAAGCTTGCTTGGCGTCTTTAGCAATAGCCTTCCACTCCTCATAGCTCACAGTGAAACGGTGAGCAAATCTTCTTATTTGCTCATTGTACAGTTCTTGGCCCTTTTCTGTTAACTTTCGGTCTCTTTGGCTTCTTTGTGGTTCTTGTGAGGAAGTGTGGTCATTAGCTCTTGTACTTTTAGTAGCCTGTGGTTGCATGTCTATGCACTGCTGCTCTATACTTTCACCTACAGTGGGGGAAAAAAGTATTTAGTCAGCCACCAATTGTGCAAGTTCTCCCACTTAAAAAGATGAGAGAGGCCTGTAATTTTAAATCATAGGTACACGTCAACTATTACAGACAAAATGAGAAAAAAAAATCCAGAAAATCAAATTGTAGGATTTTTAATGAATTTATTTGCAAATGATGGTGGAAAATAAGTATTTGGTCAATAACAAAAGTTTCTCAATACTTTGTTATATACCCTTTGTTGGCAATGACACAGGTCAAACGTTTTCTGTAAGTCTTCACAAGGTTTTCACACACTGTTGCTGGTATTTTGGCCCATTCCTCCATGCAGATCTCCTCTAGAGCAGTGATGTTTTGGGGCTGTCGCTGGGCAACACAGACTTTAAACTCCCTCCAAAGATTTTCTATGGGATTGAGATCTGGAGACTGGCTAGGCCACTCCAGGACCTTGAAATGCTTCTTACGAAGCCACTCCTTCGTTGCCCGGGCGGTGTGTTTGGGATCATTGTCATGCTGAAAGACCCAGCCACGTGTCATCTTCAATGCCCTTGCTGATGGAAGGAGGTTTTCACTCAAAATCTCACGATACATGGCCCCATTAATTCTTTCCTTTACACGGATCAGTCGTCCTGGTCCCTTTGCAGAAAAACAGCCCCAAAGCATGATGTTTCCACCCCCATGCTTCACAGTAGGTATGGTGTTCTTTGGATGCAACTCAGCATTCTTTGTCCTCCAAACACAACGAGTTGAGTTTTTACCAAAAAGTTATATTTTGGTTTCATCTGACCATATGACATTCTCCCAATCCTCTTCTTGATCATCCAAATGCACTCTAGCAAACTTCAGACGGGCCTGGACATGTACTGGCTTAAGCAGGGGGACACGTCTGACACTGCAGGATTTGAGTCACTGGCGGCGTAGTGTGTTACTGATGGTAGGCTTTGTTACTTTGGTCCCAGCTCTCTGCAGGTCATTCACTAGGTCCCCCCGTGTGGTTCTGGGATTTTTGCTCACCGTTCTTGTGATCATTTTGACCCCACGGGGTGAGATCTTGCGTGGAGCCCCAGATCGAGGGAGATTATCAGTGGTCTTGAATGTCTTCCATTTCTTAATAATTGCTCCCACAGTAGATTTTTTCAAACCAAGCTGCTTACCTATTGCAGATTCAGTCTTCCCAGCCTGGTGCAGGTCTACAATTTTGTTTCTGGTGTCCTTTGACAGCTCTTTGGTCTTGGCCATAGTGGAGTTTGGAGTGTGACTGTTTGAGGTTGTGTACAGGTGTCTTTTATACTGATAACAAGTTCAAACAGGTGCCATTAATACAGGTAACGAGTGGAGGACAGAGGAGCCTCTTAAAGAAGAAGTTACAGGTCTGTGAGAGCCAGAAATCTTGCTTGTTTGAAGTTGACCAAATACTTATTTTCCACCATAATTTGCAAATAAATTCATTAAAAATCCTACAATGTGATATTCTGGATTTTTTTTCCTCATTTTGTCTGTCATAGTTGACGTGTACATATGATGAAAATTACAGGCCTCTCTCATCTTTTTAAGTGGGAGAACTTGCACAATTGGTGGCTGACTAAATACTTTTTTTCCCCACTGTACATTAACCTGCTTTCTCCCAGAGGTAAGACTAGGCTCTGACATTGTTACTTGGTGTACTTAAATTTGGGTTAAATCTAGTTTGGCCTGTAGCTAAGTGATTCAGCTCCCATTAGCTATTCACATTTATACTATTTTTACCACTAATATTATTTTTTAGAACATATTCACATCTACTTCACACAAATCAATATCACGTTGTTCTATGAAATGCAAAATTCAGTCTCTTGGTTGTAGCTTAGTTAACACTTAAACATACACACAACTATACCGTATGAATATGAAGGCAAAAATGTGTCAGTCTCTTGTGGGAAATAGTTTAAGCTTCTTTGCATCAGCTGGATTCATGGTAAGGCGCCTGGATTCTTCTGTGGATGCTGCGGCTGTGTAAATGTCAGGAGCAGATGCACACTCTTGGATGTAGAGATGTCCCTTCTTGTCCATGGATCACGGCTCTTTGGTACTGTCTTCCTCGTCTACTCATGCAGAGCAGATGAGTTCTCACTATAGCTCCTCCAGTGACAGGCATGAGGCAAGAGGTCTTGATTTGAATACAGGGCTTTAATGCTGGTCAACCCGTGAGAACTGGTTTAAAGAAAGAAAAAATACATTAACAAAATAATGCCATATGCATGTCTCACACATCTGGCGTTATAATCAAGCTCATACAGCTAGACACTTTATGTATATTTTACACCAAAAAATGACGCACGTAAACACAAACACCCTCATAGCAAAATAAATAGTCAACAAACCTCATTGCTGCTTATCACACAGAGGTGCTAAACATCCTTTTAAATGTCCTTTATCTTCTTCTGTATACTTTCTTTGTAAGTATGCACTTAAACACGATAACAGTGGAAAAATAATTCGCTTTTTGCGGTAAAGTTTCCTCGGTGCGTCGCTAAAGGCGCTCGGGTGACTACACTCGGGCGGAACCAATAATTAGTTCCGTCTTGCTGTAAACGTACAATTCAGAAGAAATTAAATAATAAAAAGTGCAAATACATAAAATAAACTAAAGTGCTAATACATGAAATAAACTGGCGACAGAGGCAGTTACACTACTACATATAACAATACGATTAAATGATATCTTTACATAAAAAAAGTATATCGGAATTCCAGTCATTCCAATACATGTTATATTCCCCTTGATCTTCAAGAATAGGACTTGGAAATATGGAAGTATAGATTAGCCAAATTGTTTTTCCTGAGCATAATCCCAAAACAAAGGATTTATTAGCCAGCATACTACTCTGTTGTTAATGATTTTGTTGTCATACTTATTCAAGTGTTTTTCTTTATTTTTACTATTTTCTACATTGTTGAATAATAGTGAACATTTACATTTTAGTCATTTAGCAGACGCTCTTATCCAGAGCGACTTACAGTTAGTGACTACATTTTTTTTTTTTATACTGGCCCCCCGTGGGAATCAAACCCACAACCCTGGCGTTGCAAACGCCATGCTCTATCAACTGAGCTACATCCCTGCCGGCCATTCCCTCCCCTACCCTGGACGATGCTGGGCCAATTGTGCGCCGCCCATGAGTAGTGAAGACATCAAAACTATGAAATAACACATATGGAATCATGTAGTAACCAAAAAAGTGTTAAACAAATCAAAATATATTTTATATTTGAGATTCGTCAAATAGCCACCCTTTTCCTTGATGACAGCTTTGCACACTCTTGGCATTCTCTCCACCAGCTTCACCTGGAATGCTTTTCCAACAGTCTTGAAGGAGTTCCCACATATGCTGAGGACTTGTTGGCTGCTTTTCTTTCACTCTGCGGTCGAACTCATTCCAAACCATCTCAATTTGGTTGAGGTCGGGGGATTGTGTAGGCCAGGTCATCTGATGCAGCACTCCATCACTCTCCTTCTTGGTCAAATAGCCCTTACACAGCCTGGAGGTGTGTTGGGTCATTGTCCTGTTGAAAAACAAGTCATAGTCCCACTAAGCCCAAACCAGGTGGGATGGCGTATCGCTGCAGAACGCTGTGGTAGCCATGCTGGTTAAGTGTGCCTTGAATTCTAAATAAATCACAGACAGTGTCATCAGCAAAGCACCCCCACACCATAACACCTTCTCCTCCATGCTTTGCATTGGGAAATACACATGCGGAGATCATCCGTTCACCCACACCGCGTCTCACAAAGACAAGGCGGTTGGAACCAAATATCTCCAATTAGGACTCCAGACCAAAGGACAAATTTCCACCAGTCTAATGTCCATTGCTCATGTTTCTTGGCCCAAGCAAGTCTCTTCTTCTTATTGGTGTCCTTTAGTAGTGGTTTTTTTTGCAGAAATTCAACCATGAGGGCCTGATTCACACAGTCTCCTCTGAACAGTTGATGTTGAGATGTGTCTGTTACTTGAATTCTGTGAAGCATTTATTTGGGCTGCAATTTATGAGGCTGGTAACTCTAATGAACTTATCCTCTGCAGCAGAGGTAACTCTGTGTCTTCCATTCCTGTGGCGGTCCACATGAAAGCAAGTTTCATCATAGCGCTTGATGGTTTTTGCGACCGCAAAGGTAGCTTAGTGGTTAAGAGCATTGTGCCAGTAACCGAAAGGTCGCTGGTTCTAATCCCCGAGCTGACTAGGTGAAAAACCTGTCGATGTGCCCTTGAGCAAGGCACTTAACCCTAATTGCTCCTGCTAAATGACAAAAAAAAAAAAAATAAAAGCTTTCAAAGTTGTTGACAATTTCCGTATTGACTAGCCTTCATGTCTTAAAGTAATTATGGACTGTCATTTCTCTTTTCTAATTTGAACTGTTCTTGCCATAATAGGGACTTGGTCTTTTACCAAATAGGGCTATGTTCTGTATACCATCCCTACCTTGTCACAAAACAACTGATTGGCTCAAATGCATTAAGAAGGAAAACAATTCCACAAATTTTTAAGAAGGCACACCTGTTAATTGAAATGCATTCCAGGTGACTACCTCATGAAGCTGGTTGAGAGAATGCCAAGAGTGTGCAAAGCTGTCATCAAGGCAAAGGGTGGCTATTTGAAGAATCTCCAATCTCAAATATATGTTGATTTGTTTAACACTTTTTTGGTTACTACATGGTTCCATATGTGTTATTTCATAGTTTTTTATGTATAATTCTACAATGTAGAAAATAGTAAAAATAAAGAAAAGCCCTTGAGTGCTACAGACTGCCTCTTTAAGTCTATCAAAAGTGTGCGAGTTTGAGTATGTGTCCATTAGGCCTATGGATTTATTTATTTTATCAGCATGAATTAGATTGAGCAATAAAAGCCACACTTTTATTCCATAGGCTGGGATCAGCACTATGCAGCTGTGGCAAGAGCTCATTTTTCACTGGCTGTCCACTGGTTTCAAAAACAATGATTGATAGGCAGCTTAAACTTCTTGAATTAAACCATTATTGGGTTCAAATGCACATTTAGATTTGTGAACAGCCATCCACAACAACGGTAAGGTGCAAATAGCTAAATGAGAGAGCAGCAGTGTGATTCACATCAATGCGCTTTGTAGATATCAATAATAAGTGATATCCGTATTGCCGTAGACTACACCACTGCTGTCATCCTTACCTCCAAGCGTTTATTCAACATGGATAATCTTTGGATGCTGACAGCAGTCGCACCATTGGAAGACATAGCTTGGAAGACATAGCTTGGACTGTAGCCTGTAAAAGTCTATTTCTGCTCTTTTCACGTGATCCATCAAACACATTTGGTGTGTCATCAAAGTGGTCTCTGACTTGTGGTCAGACTCAGACAGGTGGAACAAATGTAAACTTCTGCCTCTTTTCAATGCTGATTTGAATGTCATTGAGAAAACAGAGAAGCGTCAACAACAAAAAACATCCTTTCTGAATGTAAAAGTAATCCTCGAAGTTATCATCAAGTTTTTCAAAAGTATCTGTAATCTGATTACAATATTTTAGCTGGTAACGTAACAGATTACAGGTTAAAAAAAAAAAAAGTTATCCCCAACCCTGGTTAAACTGGCCTCTGAATCATCATTCCCACCAAACACATCTTCCACTAACAGCCAAAACCAGAGAGGAGGAGGTAATACGACTGCAACCACAGACTGAGTCCATCCCCAATCAAATACAATTAACATATAAACGCCATGCAATATGATGATGATGATCATTGGGGGGAATGAAAGAGATGAGTGATTAGGGTTTGTGGGGACGGTGACTGGGATTTGTGAGGACTATGATTGTGGCATGTGAGGACTGATGTGCCAGGCTGACTGAAGTCCTAAACTGACCCCCTGGTGGAGAGGAAGGAGATCAAAGACTCTCATCACATCCGATCACAGGGCTCTAGCGTGGTCTTTGTGGAGGGTAGTTCCACCTCAAAAAGCAGAAGAAACAGAATTTAGACACCCACCACCTCAGATTGTTAGAAACAGATAAGAGTAGCATTCCTGCAACATTATTTTGTTGAAATATAATTACATCTCTGAGAAATTAAGCTAATTGATTGGCAATGTGGTACCTAACATACAATTTGGGCCAAACGTGTTTCTAACAATGAGTTAGACATGAGGAATCCAAATAAATAGTCGAAAGCCACCCTTGGACCCAATCCTACCCCAGCATGTCTATGTCTGACAAGTAGTATGGAGCTGCGGCTCAGAGTACTGTTTCTTTATCCTATGTAATGTATTCCCAGTGAATTTGGTGATGTTTTTTTCCCCCTGTTCATAGAAATTAGTAATTGAAATTATGTTTATGTCCGATCCCTACATCTTGATATTACCAGGTTTTGACCATTAGATGGTGCTGTTCCAGGTGATTTCGTTTTTAACACTAGAACCACTGGGCCTCGAGGGATCCCCCTTCAAGCTAATGAGCTCATTCTGACTGCAACATTCTAACAGTGTATTTAATACATTTCATATATGCTATCACTCAAATAATCATTTGGTTGTGTTTTAGAATTTAGGTAACATTAATATATATTATTTTTTCATTTCAAATAACAACATACAATTTAAAATTAGTTTATGTTAGTGTAGGCTATATGTAAAAACAAAACAAAAACACAAGTGTTCAATCAATTTCATTCATAAAGTGCCTTCGTTACAACTACGAAACAGAAAGTATATGTGTTGGAACATGGTAACAGCTTATTTTTATAACAATATTTCTTTTTTTACAAAAAACCCAACCACGCGGTGTCAAATGATGAAAACAGTAGCCTAAACATCATTATAAGCTCCAATTGTGCTTGATAAATTGTGAAAATCAGCACAAAAACAATAATGGTATTATGGTGAATATAAGTGTCAATATGAGCAGTAAAAAATAGTCAATTATTATCAGCTCTTGCTTTCACGCATTGGTATAAATTGGATTTCATTTAACGGTTATCCCGAGTAGGCTTGTTTTATTTGCCAGCAACTTGTTCACCAATGACAGTGAAAAATTGTCCATGGTGACTTTTCTCCCCTTGCCAAGGTAAGGTTCCACAATCCTCATCACCACATTCTCCAACACTCGCTCACCTGCTTCCCAATGTGGATGTTTTCCCAGATACGGAAAGTCATTCAGCATGTACTTGGTGTTGACGTCAGTGGCTAACCAAAACATAATTCCAAACTTGTCGGATTTATTCTCAATGTATTGCGTAAAGCCACAACAAGCTTTGTTGGGAACAATTGTTCATCAACAGTGATGTTCTCTGCTGGTTTGTAACATGCAATGCTGTTCTGTACAAACGTCTTCCAAACGTCTCCAGGCGTCGCATTCTCATTTCTTTGTCATCAAAACGGAGGTAACGCATGATCTCTCTGAAGGTATCCTATGACATGGTTTCTCCAAAGAATGGTATCCCATACATGTCTGACTAGAAGCTCACCATGCTGCATATACATGCTCTTTCCACCGAATGCTCCACGGAAATACAGGATTGAAATGAACGCTTCCAGCTCATCAACAGAGACAGATCCCAGGCAGTGTCTCCTTGCTCCCTGTACACCTCCGTTACAGTACAGTCCCTGACTGTCCCTGACATGCTGTAGCATGTTCATGTAACATAAACAACGAAAGCTGGTGAGTGCGTTGCTGATGTTGTTTTTTGCTTGAGATGTAGGGCCTGCTCTCTCGGCGATGACATTTTGTGTTGATAATCGGCCAATAGCATTGTCACCAGCTTGTTCTATCTCCTGTCTCACTGTTTCCTTTGGTGGTGGAGCAGGCACCTGCTCAGTGCGCACTGTTCTGGATTTTTTGCGCTTAGGCCTCGGAGGTGTAGGTTATTCAGGCCGAGGCTCAGAATCCGAAGAGTAATCATCAGAGATATCATGATTTATTTATTCCCCACCATCTGAGTCATTTTCATTCCGATCTTGTAGCAGCGCTAACGCAGCATGTGCATCCATTTGTCTTGGTCTTCTTGCCATTGTACATTACGCACATCTCACTGTGTACTCCAAGTAGGCCAGAGTAGACTGATAAAACTGCTTTGATTTGGTGGACTGATATAGGGTACATACCATTTGGAGATTATAATTAGAATATACCAATACAATAGAATGGCCCGCCCTGTTCTTTATTGACAATCAGTGATTACATAAATATGCATCGTTCGCTTCCCCTCGCTCATCAACTCACATATTCTCCCCCTTTCTCCCCCATCATACTTTACTTCCTTTTATTTAATCTGTTGTTATGTGTAAAATTAGTTTGTTATAGTTTATGTTCAGTTTTGAGGCAATTATCAGGGTGATTATCAACTGGGCACTGCACTTTCCAATGTCGGGAGATTGAGTGGAGCAGATCCCTACTGTCCGGAGAAGGAGGAGCAACGGGGGAAAACCATTCAAATAATGACATGCCCTCCTAAAACTGGTTATAACTCCAGTTCTGTTTGTGATATTACAATTTTTACAACGGCAGTGTGTTTTATAGACTTATTTAGGAAAAGTCAAGGATGGAGAGAGGCATGACTTTAAAAATAAAATACATTAATGAGCAATCAAAATGACTGCTTTAGCAGTTCTAGTGTTAAAGAATCCCCCCCCTCAATGTTAAAGGGATAGTTCATGGACAAGGTATGACAGCAACCCATGATTTGTAGCGCGTACAAATCTTCTGTCGTCGGTTGCAACACTCACTACCGAGTTCCAAACTGCCTCTGGAAGCAACGTCAGCACAATGCCAAGCGTCAGCTGGAGTGTTGTAAAGCTCGCCGCCATTGGATTCTGGAGCAGTGGAAACGCGTTCTCTGGAGTGAAAAATCACGCTTCACCATCTGGCAATCCAACGGTCAATATCTGGGTTTGGTGGATGCCAGGAGAACGCTCCCTGCCCGAATGCATAGTGCCAACTCTTACGTTTGGTAGAGAAGGAATAATGGTCTGGGGCTGTTTTTCATGGTTTGGGCTAGGCCCCTTAGTTCCAGTGAAGGGAAATCTTAGCCCTGTGCTTCCAACTTTGTGGAAACAGTTTGGGGAAGGCCCTTTCCTGTTTCAGCATGACAATGCCCCTGTGCACAAAGCGAGGTCCATACAGAAATGGTTTGTCTTGATCGGTGTGGAAGATCTTGACTGGCCTGCACAGAGCCCTGACCTCAACCCCATTGAACACCTTTGGCCCAACATTAGTGTCCTCACTAATGCTCTTGTTGCAATGTTCCAACATCTAGTGGAAAGTCTTCCCAGAAGAGTGGAGGCTGTTATAGCAGCAAAGGGGGGACCAACTCCATATTAATGCCCATGATTTTGGAATGAGATGTTCGACGAACAGGTGTCCACATACTTTTGGTCATGTTGTTTATTTTCTTAATGCAAATTTTAGAATATTCACATGAAAATCTGTCACCAATTGGATGGAAACCTAGCTATAGTTAGAAAAAAAGTTTAGTCCAAATCTGATTTTAGGTACTATATTTATTGAATATTATATGAATCCTATAGATTAAATTGGCCAATTTGGGTGCAATCAATTAGCTTAATTTCTCAGAGATCAAATTACATTTCAACAAAAAATTGTTGTAGGAATGCTAACCTGTTTCTAACTACAGAAATTATTTCAGAACAATCTGAGATGGTGGGTGCCATGGCTTGCTGAAATGAGATGGAATGACCCTGGAGTCACTTTCTCTGTCTGTCAGGCTACTGTGTGGTGGTGGTGGAGGAGTCAACCAAAGAGATACACACATTGAAACTAAAAGATCCCTGCTGTCCGATGTGGAGTGGTGTAGCATGTCGACCACGTTGTGTGATCCATGGTGTGATTTGCACAGTGGTTTGGCACCAGATTAAATAAAGAAAAGCTTTGATGTGTTATGATGACTTGTTTTACAGTGAACTTCATGAACTCTGTGTTATATTTGAAAACGTGCAGATTTCTTCCTTGTTTCATGATTTACAATAAATGTGAATGGCATTGGGTTTCAACATTTCAACATATTCTGAAAACCTCTGTGAACTTTGGGAAAGTTTCCAGTATTTTGCAAGCCTTGAATGAAGTGGAGATACTTAATGAAGTGTGTTTATTATTGTGTTAATTCTATTCGCACACATTTGCACACTAGTGTTGTTGTGGTTGTGTATCTGAGCTGCAGGGGGAGACGAAAATCTTGAAGCTGAAGAACCTTCGTCCTCAGGACTACGCCAACTACAGCTGCATCGCTTCTGTTAGGAATGTCTGTGGCATTTCCGACCGAAACATCGTCTTCAAACTCACCAACAAGACAGGTTAGTCTTCAAACTCACCAACAAAACGGGTTAGTAACATTGTCTTCAAACTCACCAACAAGACAGGTTAGTCTTCAAACTCACCAACAAAACAGGTTAGTACCATAACATTGTTTTCAAACGCACCAACAAGACAGGTTAATCTTCAAATGCACCAACAAGACAGGTTCGTCTTCAAACTCACCAACAAGACAGGTTCGTCTTCAAACTCACCAACAAAACAGGTTAGTACCATAACCTCGTTTTCAAACGCACCAACAAGACAGGTTAGTCTTCAAATGTACCAACAAGACAGGTTAGTCTTCAAATGTACCAACAAGACAGGTTAGTCTTCAAATGCACCAACAAGACAAGTTAGTCTTCAAACTCACCAACAAGACATGCACCATAAAGTTGATAAGAAAACAGAAAACCTCCATCCTCTTCTTCTTCCTCTCCAGCGTCTCCCTCCATCAAGCTGCTGGTGGAGGATCCCATCGTGGTGAACCCTGGCCAGACGGTGTCCCTCGTGTGTATCACTACGGGTGGGGAGCCCAACCCAACGCTGAGCTGGGTCAGCGGCTCTGACAGCCTGCCTGAGAAGAGCGTGGTGAAGGGTGGAACACTCACCCTACCAGCCATCACCTCAGACGAGGCTGGGGTCTACAGCTGTGTGGCCAGTAACAACGTGGGCAACCCAGCCAAGAAGTCTACCACAATAGTGGTCAGAGGTGAGAGGGAGAGGGGAGCAGGAGTGGGTGTTTGTTGTAGGTGGAGTATACAATACGCATATTGTAGAATCCTTAGAACAGCACTGTCAGCCTTGTCAAGAGGTTCAGACCTCTAGGTATAATTACTTACAGTATGTAATGGACTGACAGACGCAAGGTCAGAGATTCTAGTCCCGCTTAGGCTACTCATGGGCTATTTCTTTATGAGCTAATCCAATTTTCAACATTCAAGTGACAGGAATGGTTATGAATATGGTTACTACTTTCTTTCGCTACTACAGAGTTACTACAGTATGTAAGCATCATTTTACTACAATTGACATATCTCATTATGGATGTTGCATTAGGAAAGCTGTATTGCCTGCATGATCCTACAACACATGGCGCTATAGTTGGAGACACATAGAGTATATCAACATATTCCATACAGTGTTATGACTTCTGTGCAGTAGACGGTAGGGTAACGCCAATAGCATGGGAATGCATGTGAAACCACTCATTAAAGATACTTATTAACGGCCAATTAGAGTCATTAAGCCATGGCAGTCAAGCTGAAGGCACTGCAGGCTGTTTGACAATCAACTGGGATGAGGACTTAGTGTCCAAGTCTCTTCCCCTCAAGGTAATTGACACATGAAGAAGCAAATAATTGTAGACTTGCCTTTGGGATTAGCCAATGGGTTAAGGATTTAGTGTCCAAGGCTCTTTCCCTCAAGGTAATTGACACATGGAGCAGCCAAAAATTATAGGCTTGCCTTTAGAGGACTCATTGGTTTTCTGGCCGTATAGTAGGATGAGATATTTCAATGTTTGATTTATATTGTGTGAGTCTCGAGTTTTGTGGTGAGTTGAGTGGAAGACTGTGTTGCCGGAGAAACTGGGATGAACTCAGTGAAGTAGGACAAGCACTTAGCACAGTTCATTTGGACATGCTGAATATGACAGCTGGTTAGGATAGTGGTGGTGTGGGTGTGTGCGCGTGCACGTGTGTGTGTATGAGCATGCATATTTTTGTGTGTGTGCATATGTGTGTGTGTGTGTGTATGTGAACAGATATTACATGGTATGTGTGTTACTGTATGTTTAAAGTATGTATATGTGTGTACACATGTTTGTGTGTCTTTTTGTTGATCACACCCCTAGTCCTTGAGAAGCCCTCTCATGCGGGTGTTGCCAAAGGGACTGTCTGTGTTTTCCACAGATCTGTCATCAGCAGATGGTGGCGTTTCTGCCCATGCTGTCCCACCAGTCAGGCTGGCTCGCCATTTGGCTCGCCCCCTCCTACAGTGTTGTGTGTGTGTATGTGTGTGTGTGTGTTTGGCTTGCCCCTGCTACAGAAAGAAATATAAATGTTATACTATCCCAGGTATTCCTTAAAGAGGTAGGGTTTCAAGTGTCTCTGGAAGGTGGTCAGTGACTCCGCTGTCCTGGCGTCGTTAGGGAGCTTGTTCCAGCAAACAGTTTTGACTGGGCTGAGCGGGAACTGTGCTTCCGCAGAGGTAGGGGGGCCAGCAGGCCAGAGGTGGAAGAACGCAATGCCCTCGTTTGGGTGTAGGGACTGATCAGAGCCTGAAGGTAAGGAGGTGCCGTTCCCCTCACAGCTCCGTAGGCAAGCACCATGGTCTTATAGCAGATGCAAGCTTCAACTGGAAGCCAGTGGAGTGTGCGGAGGAGCGGGGTGACATGAGAGAACTTGGGAAGGTTGAACACCAGACGGGCTGCAGCGTTCTGGATGAGTTGTAGGGGTTTAATGGCACAGGCAGGGAGCCCAGCCAACAGCGAGTTGCAGTAATCCAGACAGGAGATGACAAGTGCCTGGATTAGGACTTGTGCCGCTTCCTGTGTAAGGTAGGGTCGTACTCTGCGAATGTTTTAGAGCATGAACCTACAGGATCGGGTCACCGCTTTGATGTTAGCGGAGAACGACAGGGTGTTGTCCAGGGTCACGCCAACTCTGGGAGGAGGACACAACGGAGTTGTCAACCATGATGGCGAGATCATGGAGCGGGCAGTCCTTCCCCGGGAGGAAGAGCAGCTCCGTCTTGCCGAGGTTCAGCTTGAGGTGGTGATCCGACATCCACACTGATATGTCTGCCAGACATGCAGAGATGCGATTCGCCACCTGGTTATCAGAAGTGGGAAAGGAGAAGATTAATTGTGTGTCGTGTGCGTAGCAATGATAGGAGAGACCATGTGAGGACATGACAGAGCCAAGTGACTTGGTGTATAGAGAGAATAGGAGAGGGCCTAGAACTGAGCCCTGGGGGACACCAGTGGTGAGAGCACGTGGTGCAGAGACAGATTCTCGCCACGCCACCTGGTAGGAGCGACCTGTCAGGTAGGACGCAATCCAAGAGTGAGCCGTGCCGGAGATGCCCAACTCGGAGAGGGTGGAGTGGAGGATCTGATGGTTCACAGTATCAAAGGCAGCGGATAGGTCTAGAAGGATGAGAGCAGAGGAGAGAGAGTTAGCTTTAGCAGTGCGGAGAGCCTCCATGACACAGAGAAGAGCAGTCTCAGTTGAATGACCAGTCTTGAAACCTGACTGGTTAGGATCAAGAAGGTCATTCTGAGAGAGATAGCAGGAGAGTTGGCTATAGACGGCACGCTCAAGAGTTTTGGAGAGAAAAGAAAGAAGGGATACTGGTCTGTAGTTGTTGACATCGGAGGGATCGAGTGTAGGTTTTTTGAGGAGGGGTGCAACTCTCGCTTTCTTGAAGATGGAAGGGACATAGCCAGCGGACAAGGATGAGTTGATGAGCGAGGTGAGGTAAGGGAGAAGGTCTCCGGAAATGGTCTGGAGAAGAGAGGAGGGGATAGGGTCAAGCGGGCAGGTTGTTGGGTGGCCGGCCGTCACAAGTCGCAAGATTTCATCTGGAGAGAGAGGGGAGAAAGAAGTCAAAGCATAAGGTAGGGCAGTGTGAGCAGGACCAGCGGTGTCATTTGACTTAATAAATGAGCATCGGATGTCGTCAACCTTCTTTTCAAAATGGTTGATGAAGTCATCCACAGAGAGGGAGGAGGGAGGGGGAGGAGGAGGAGGATTCAGCAGGGAGGAGAAGGTGGCAAAGAGCTTCCTAGGGTTAGAGGCAGAGGCTTGACATTTAGAGTGGTAGAAAGTCGCTTTAGCAGCAGAAACGGAGGATGAGAATGTAGAGAGGAGGGAGTGGAAAGATGACAGGTCCGCATGGAGTCTAGTTTACCTCCATTTCCGCTCAGCTGACCGGAGCCCAATGTTTGGCAACAAAAGGATACTTTAGTGACACGATGACCTGGACAATGAGAGATATTCTCTGCCTCTGTCAACACTAAGTCAATTTGTTAGAGAATGTGTTCGCTGCAAGGTTTGTTTTAGTGTTTGTGTGCTTGCGTGTATGTGTGTGCTGGGTGTGTGTAACTATGTCTGTCTGTCTGTGAATTGTTCACTACACGGGTGTATCAAACGTGAAGCGACAGCATACAGTGAAAGGAACGTCTTAGAGACAATTGGCTTGCGTTCATTTCTTTTTCCCCCACCACCACCATTTACACACCTAGTACTGTACCTACGTTTCCTAATATTGTACCTACGTTTCCTAGTACTGTATCTACGTTTTCTAGTACTGTACCTATGTTTCCTAGTACTGTACCTATGTTTCCTAGTACCTACCTATGTTTCCTAGTACTCTAACTACGTTTTCTAGTACTGTACCTACGTTTCCTAGTACTGTACCTACGTTTCCTAGTACTCTACCTACGTTTCCTATTACTGTACCTACGTTTCCTAGTACCATACCTACGTTTCGTAGTAATGTACCTTCGTTTCCTAGTACTGTACCTACGTTTCCTCCCTGTGCGTTCTTAAAACAGTGTGCTTTGCGGGTGTGTGATGTGGAGAAATTAGTGGTGTTGGAGGTATCAAACATTCAGAATCAAACAATGTTCTGCTGTTCTGTTGTTGTCTCGTCGTCTCTCCTGACAATTCCTCCAGGACTTCCTTCCTTCCAGATGACTCCAAATGAGACATCAGCCATTTCAGTCAGCGAACACACACAGGCAACCCCTCCACAACACACACAGGCTCTACACTCTCTGTGAGGGGATTCTGTGTTATTAAAAACAGAGAAAAGCTGTAATGGGTTTCATAGTGAGCCTGTCTGCTGATGTTATTTAGGCTGTTGTTGGGAATTGTTAGGGAAAAACAAACCCCTCATGATGTGATTTGGAACAACCTGGCTGTTAGCATGTAAATCAATATGTGAATGACTCAAATTTGCTCTGGAATACATTCTGGTCCGGAGCTGCATACATTTCCATTTATAAATGGCAAATGTAATGGTCTGGGTGAATGGGCCTGGCAGACAGACTGGAGAGTTGGGCAGCGGCTGTCAGGACTGTGGCTATTTGTCAGTGTGTGTGTGTGTGCGGTTGTTTGTGTGTGTGCGTGTGTGTGTGTGTGTGTGTGCGTCCTGCTGGCCTGTGACTGAACATGTCAAGTTCAGTAGAGGTCAACCACAAGGTAATATACAGCACAACGGCCTGTCACTCGCCACGTCCAAACATTGGCATGCGTCAGTGTGTGTGTGAGCGTTAACGTGTGGAGGCATGGTGTGATGATAATCAGAGAGGGGTGTGTGTGTGGTCGGGGTCTGGGGTTGAATGTGTGTGTGTGTGTGTGTGTGTGTTTGCGGGGGTCTGGGGCCCCTGTATATCTTTACCCTTGACTAATGTCCCCGAGAGGAGGTAGGTAAAGTAGAGGAGAGAGAGCCATCTGGCCCTTAGAGGACCGCTAAGCTAGACCTGCTGATTACCAGTGGGAGAGATGAATGGTGGATGGAGGCCACCGTGTGGTGCCAAAGGAGAGATGGACAGACTGAAAGAGGGAGAGAGACTGGGGGTTAGAGAGAGACTGGGGGTTAGAGAGACTGGGGGTTAGAGAGATACAGGTGTCAGTGCCATCTTGTCAGCCAGTCTTAAAAGAGGAGGGGTCGGGGATAGTGTGTGTGTGTGTGTCTGTCTGTCTGTGTGTGTGAATTTGTGTGTGTGTGTGTGTGTGTGTGTGTGTATGTGCCTGTAATTGTGTCATTGTGACCGCATCAGGGGCATGTGGCCCCCCATTAGCTAAGCAGCTCCCATGAGGGGGTATTGTAATCCAGCCGTGTGACTAGAGTCCTCTATGGACCAAACCCCAAAAGAGACTTCTCTCTTTGTGTCATTATCTACCTATTCATGTTACAGGCCACCCATTATTATTCACCACAGCTACTGTATCACCATGGAGACTATTACACACACTTTACATACACACACACACACACACACACACACACACACACACACAACTAATGTCTTAAAGCCAAGGAGAATATTACACTCTCTCTACAGGCACATGCACTTTGGCTCAACAAAACATGCTGGAGTTGCGTCATGATTCATATTCATAGAGGTAAATAGAATCCAGGTAACTAGAAAATATCCTATTCATCAGTGCCCTAGCTACAATGTTATAAGTGTAACCTCTTTAGATCATAGAAGAATAAAGAAATGCGTGGTATAGTGGTGTTATAAGTGTTTAAACGGTTCCTTCCATTGAGTAGAAAATATTTCTGTAGAGCACAGCTTCGAGTAAAGAGCTTTAAAAGGAAAGTCTTACTGGATACAGTATTTATTGATTATTTTTTCCTCTCACGTACAACCAGGTCCCTGGTTCTAGACAGAAATGTTCAGAGCGGTGAAGAGAAAACCAACTTCCAAAGGCCATATCATTAATAATGAATGGTGAATGTGTGTTTGTGCACATTAACTTTCATTTTTTGCCTCGGTGCTCACGGTACTCAAATGCTTTTAACTACTGCAGTGGGCTAAATCAGGGTCACACAGAGTGTTTCTTGGTAGTCTTAAACAAATCTACTTTGAAACAAAAGTATACAGCTCACACACATGGTTATGGGCTTTAAAAAAAGAAGACACCTATAATAATACTAATATGCCATTTAGCAGACGCATTTATCCAAAGCGACTTACAGTCATGCGTGCATACATTTTTGTGTATGGGTGGTCCCGGGGATCAAACCCACTACCTTGGCGTTACAAGTGCCGTGCTCTACCAGCTGAGCTACAGAGGACCACGTACTGTAAAAAAAAGTTATCAGTACAACCTCTCAAAGTGAATAAAAATGTTATCGCAAGTGCAAAAAGGAGCGGAGACATAGGACACCCTTGACGGGTCCCTCTGGATAGGGGGAAGTATTTAGAATGTTGAGAGGTGATGTGTACCCTAGCTGTAGGAGCAGAATAGAGCAGACGTATCCATGAGATGAAATTGGTACCAAAACCACTCCACTTGGTCGAAAACCTCCTCATCAAGAGAAACAACAATTTTGGGGTCTGGAAAACAGTTGCGCCCTTTGATGAAGCCTGTTTGACCATCAGATATGACATCCTGAAGGCAGGGTTACAACCAGCATGCTAGAACCTTAGATAATAGTTTAACATAAGCGTTCAAAAGTGAAATGAGCCGATATCCACCACATTCCACCGGATCTTTATCTTTCTGGAGTATAAGTGAGATGGAGGTTTGAGTTAGCGTCGAGGGGAGAGAGCCCTGTGCTAACGAGTCGGTGAACATATCTAATAGTAGTGTGGCGAGTTGATCTGAGAATTTTATATAAATCGACAGGGAAGCCATCAGGCCTTGGGCCTTGCCACTTTGCATTGACTTTACACCCTTTGTTATCTCATCTAGATGCAGAGGGTTATCCAGAACTTTACTCATGTCCATATCAATGGATGGAACATCCAAGTTATCTAAAAAGTTGTCCATAGCCGTATTATTTGATGGGGGTTTGAATTTGTAGAGGTTAGAATAAAATCACACAAAAGTTGAATTCATATTACGGGATCACTTGTAAGATTACGGGAAGAGTCATATACCTGAGAGATGAGATGAGATGCTGACTGGCATTTAAGTTGGTGTGCCAAAAGGCAGCTGGCCTTGTCACCATATTCGTAGTATGTCCCCTTTGTTTGTTGCAACAGAAACTCTGCTTTATCAGCGGAAAGCAGATTAAATTGAGTTTGAAGTTTCAGCTTCTCTGCGTATAATTCAAGGGATGGTGAAGTTGAATATTGGCGGTCTATTGCCAGGATTGAGTCCACCAGTTCTTGACGTTTCAGTTGTCTTTGTTTGACATAATGAGCATTGTAAGAAATTATCTTTCCCCGTAATACAGCTTTGCAAGTCTCCCAAAAAAGAGAGGGGGAGGTGTCATCATTTTTATTTGTTATAATAAATACATCTATGTTGGTTGAATTAAAGCCACAGAAGATTAGGGAGAGAGGCTAAAAGAGATGTAATAAATCTAGTGTCATCCCAGTTAGGGGCGTAAACATTCGCAAGTACTACAGGGGTCTATAAGAGGGTGCCACTACCTATTGTATAACATCCTCCAGGATCTGAAATTATCTGTGAGGGTGAAAACTGTACTTGTTTGTGAATCACTATTTCTGTTCCCCTGACTTTGCCGTTAAAATTATAATTAAACACCTGTCCAACCCATGCTTTACGCAATCTGGTATGGTCGTTAACACGTAGGTGCGTTTCTTGAAGAAATGCGATATCAGTATTCAGGCTCTTCAGATGTGAAAATACTCTGGAGCGCTTAATTTGCCCCAGTCTGACTTGAAGCCCCAAAATACCATCCTGACTTGTTGTTGAACTAGACATGAATCCTTATAAGAGGAGAAGTCAAATTAAAAAGAAAGAGGAAAAGAGAGATTGAGAGAGGAGCAGCTTGAAAAAAACATTAAAAAAAAAAAACTCTAAACAGAAACAGAGCACAAGAATCTACGGATAATGTCAACATACCAACCCCCCCAACATACACAAAAATAAAATTAAAATAATAATCCTAAACTCGTCTTTATGAACGAGACAAGCAGCAGGAATTCTCTCTTACTCATCATCCGTTGATTACCCAAAACATGTGCGGTGAGGTCAAACCGACCTTGGGAAGAAGTTACATACGCCCTTGAAATAAAGTTAAAAAAATATGGCAGTAGGCAAGTGCACAATCTGGGTTTCGGTCACACTTTAAACAAAGAGTTTTAACCTTCAGCTTCAGTTATTGCAAAATGTTAACAGCAATTGGTGGCATTTCAATGGCCATAATATGAATGTAGTCCACTAGGTGTCGCCACAGGGCTGAGTAATGAGAAACATTTTTAATTAACCAGTAGGCTATGAAAAGGGTCAGCCCCTGTCTTGGTAAATTGTTACAAATGGATAACTAGCATTTTGGATATGTACAATTAAGCAAACGAACCATGGGTCTAAACTCTTCAGCTAGTTCAACAATTAAACAAGTAAAATTGGAAGAGTAGATTCACGCGCAGAGCACGGCAGGTGTTTATTTCGCCTTCGCAGAAGGTCACAGGCAGGCAATGGTCATACACAGGTAGGCAAACAGGCAGGTGAATCAAAACTAGGACTGAAGGCTATAACTGGTTCTCACAAATGAGCTAGGAAAAGGCTTAGTAGAGTCAAAACGAACAATACCTCACAAGGCACAAACAGAATAAACTGAACTAAATAAGGAGCTGATGAGACCAGGTGAGTAACTAACACAGGGGAAATCAATGAACAAAAATGAAAGACAGGGCTACGTTCAAGAACACAAGGATGACTAAGAAAATAAATACAGAACCTTACAACCATCAGTGACCAACATCACCAATTAAGGCCAACATAAACCACAGTGGTTCAGAATGTCCATAAAAAAAGAATAAAAAAGACAATTTAAAAAAAACGGTATACATCAAGCACACCTCCAATGAAAAATGTATACACTACCAGTCAGACGTTTGGACACACCAACTCATTCAAGGCTTTTTCTTTATTTTTTACTAATTTTTACTATGTAGAATAATAGTGAAGACATCAAAACTATGAAATAACACATATGGAATCATGTAGTAAACAAAAAAATATTTTATATTTGAGATTCTTCAAATAGCCACCCTTTGCCTTGATGACAGCTTTGCACACTCTTGGCATCCTCTTGGCATTCAGCTTCACCTGGAATGCTTTTCCAACAGTCTTGAAGGAGTTCCCACATATGCTGAGGCACTTGTTGGCTGCTTTTCCTTCACTCTGCGGTCCGACTCATCCCACATCATCTCAATTGGGTTGAGGTCAGGGGATTGTGGAGGCCAGGTCATCTGATGCAGCACTCCTTCACTCTCCTTCTTGGTCAAATAGCCCTTACACAGCCTGGAGGTGTGTTGGGTCATTGTCCTGTTGAAAAACAAATGATAGTCCCACTTAACCCAAACCAGATAGGATGGCGTATTAGAATGAAAAATCTGTCCAACCCATGCTTTACACAATCTAGTATGGTCGTTAACACGTAGGTGCATTTCTTGAAGAAATGCGGTATCAGTATTAATTCTCTTGGCATTCAGCTTAACCTTCAGCAACCCAAACCAGATGGGATGGCGTATCGCTGCAGAATGCTGTGGTAGCCATGCTGGTTAAGTGTGCCTTGAATTCTAAATAAATCACAGACAGTGTCACCAGCAAAACACCCCCACAACATAACACCTCCTCCTCCATGCTTTACGGTGGGAAATACACATGCAGAGATAATCCGTTCACCCACAAAGAAACTCAAATGTGTCCATTGCTCGTGTTTCTTGGCCCAAGCAGGTCTCTTCTTCTTATTAGTGTCCTTTAGTAGTGGTTTATTTGCAGTAATTCAACCATGAAGGCCTGATTCACACAGTCCCCTCTGAACAGTTGATGTTGAGATGTGTCTATTACTTGAACTTATTTGGGCTGCAAATTCTGAGGCTGGTAACTCTAATGAACTTATCCTCTCCTGTGGCAGTCCTCATGAGAGCCAGTTTCATCATATGGCTTGATGGTTTTTGCGACTGCACTTGAAGAAACTTTCAAAATTCTTGACATTTTCCATATTGACTGACCTTTATGTCTTAAAGTAATGATGGACTGTCATTTATCTTTGCTTATTTGAGCTGTTCTTGACATAATAGGGACATGGTCTTTTACCAAATAGGGTTATCTTCTGCATACTCCCCCTACCTTGTCACAACACAACTGATTGGCTCAAACGCATTAAGAAGTAAAGAAATTCCACAAATTAACGTTTAACAAGGCACACCTGTTAATTGAAATGCATTCCAGGTGACTACCTCATGAAGCTGGTTGAGAGAATGCCAAGAGTGTGCAAAGCTGTCATCAAGGCAAAGGGTGGCTATATGAAGAATCTCAAGTATAATATATGTTTTGATTTGTTTAACACTTTTTTGGTTACTACATGATTCCATATGTGTTTTTTCGTAGTTTTGATGTCTTCACTATTATTCTACAATGTAGAAAATAGTAAAAATAAAGAAAAACCCTGGAATGAGTAGGTGTGTCCAAACTTTTGACTGGTACTGTATATACACAAATATCGGTAGACAGGATCAGTGTCTAACTAGCGAGTAACATTAGTATCCGAAATGACCTAAAGGCGGCCAAACTACCATGTGGGCTATAGATTGCCATAAGTGGAGCAGCAAGTTCAAAGCCTTAGTAAAAATAAATAAATCAAAATGCTGCGCTTTTAACAGTGATTGTCTTCAGTTAAGAAACTAAACAAGATCAAATGGAAAGTTTAAACAGCAGTGAGACAGCATAGTATGTCATTGTTGTCACACCCTGGCTCGGGGACTCAATATGTTGAGCCAGGGTGTGTTCATTCTATGTTTTCTGTTTCTTTGGTGGGTGTTCTAGGGTGTCTATTTTCTATGTTTGCCGGTGTGACTCCCAATCAGAGGCAAACGAGTGTCAGCTGTCGGCTGTTTGTCTCTGATTGGGAGCCATATTTAATCTGTCTGTTTTTCTTTCGGGTTGTGGGATTTTGTTCGTGTGTGTTCGTGTTGTAACATAGACGTCACGCATTCGTTGTTTATTGTTTTGTTCGTGTGAACGTTTAAATAAATAGAATATGTTCAGTCGCAACGCTGCGCCTTGGTCCTTTTCTTTAGACGAATGTGACAGAAAATCCCACCTCAACCAGACCAAGCAGCGTGTTCAGGAGCCATCGCTGGCAGATCTCCGTGGCAACCTCGACTGGATCAAGCAGCGTGACTTGGAGAGAGGATGGACGTGGGAGGAGATGATTGCGAGTCTGAGAGAGGCCTTGGCCCCGGGGAGGAGAGAACCCCAGAAAATTTTTAGGGGGGGGCTCACGATGTCGGGGCAGCAGGAGGCCGCTATGGAGCGGTCCAGCGGGGTTGCAGAGGAGGCCGCCAGGTTACGGGGGCCACTGGTAGAAGAGGGGATGGAAGGTGTAGAGGCACGGCGAGAGGTACTGGCGTGTGTTGCCAGTCCGGTCCGGCCCGTTCCAGATCCCGGTGTAGAGCCAGTGGTGTGTGTCCCCAGTACGGTCCGGTCTATTCCTGCTCCCCGCACCAAACCTACGGTGTGCGTCGACAGCCCAGCCCGGCCCGTTCCTGCGCTCCGCACCGAGTCTGTGGTGCGCGTCGCCAGCCCAGTCCGGCCCATCCAAGCTTTTCGCATAAAGCCTACGGTGTGCGTCGCCAGCCCAGTCCGGCCTGTTCCTGCTCCACGCACAGAGCCTGCGGTGTGCGTCGCCAGCCCAGCCCGGCCTGTTCCTGCTCCACGCACAAAGCCTACGGTGTGCGTCGCCAGCCCAGCCCGGCCTGTCCCTGCTCCACGCACAAAGCCTACGGGGTGCGTCGCCAGCCCAGCCCGGCCTGTCCCTGCTCCACGCACAAAGCCTACGGTGTGCGTCGCCAGCCCGACCCGGCCTGTTCCTGCCACTCGCACCAAACCAGGGGTGCGAGTCGCCAGCCTGGTTCAGCCTGTTCCTGCCACTCGCACCAAGCCAGGGGTGCGAGTCGTCAGCCTGGTTCAGCCCGTTCCTGCTACTCGCACCAAGCCAGGGGTACGAGTCGTCAGCCTGGTCCAGCCCGTTCCTGCTACTCGCACCAAGCCAGGGATGCGAGTCGTCAGCCCTGTCCGGCTCGTTCCTGCTCTCCGCACCAAGTCTGTGGTGCGCGTCGCCAGCCCATTCCGGTCCATTCCTGCTCCACGCACCAAGCCAGGGGTGTGTATCGTCAGCCCGGTCCGGTCCGTTCCTGTTCCACGCACCAGGCCAGGGGCGCGTGTCGTCAGTCCGGCTCCGGCCAGCGGGGCTAGACAGGACCAGGGGTACTTTGAGGGGTTGGAGAGGAAGTGGGGATCTAGCCAGGAGCCGGAGCCGCTGCCGAGGAATGCCCACCCAGCCCTCCCCTGTTTTTGCTCGTATTTAGGCGCGGTCGCAGTCCGCGCCTTTAGGGGGGGGTACTGTCACACCCTGGCTCGGGGACTCAATATGTTGAGCCAGGGTGTGTTCATTCTATGTTTTCTGTTTCTTTGGTGGGTGTTCTAGGGTGTCTATTTTCATTTTGCCAGTGATCCATCAAGTGTCACTAAAATTAACGCTGTTTCTTCGGTGGAGTTAGTTGGTTGTAGCTGCATTCCTCAAGAAATTCGCAACCTTAACGAACGGGTAGAACACAAGCACAACTACTGTAGCAAGCAAGCTTTAGCATATGATTATTTCACGGAACGATCGATAGATAGCCATAGATGTTTGTAGCCTATGTCCACACAGTCACTAGCTAAACGTTACTCACATAATACAGACAGTTGAGAAATCATCCCAATCCAGGCATTCAATCTATGCGCTGTCGGTAGAAGAACTCAGCTTCTTCAGGAGTTTCGAAAAAATTGACCTCACCGTTAAAGTTGACACGGAGACGGGCAGGATAAATCAGCCCAAAGCAGATTCCCTTCTTGTACAGAGTGGACTTGATGTCGTTGAATGCGGCCTATTTCTTCGCCAGGCTAGAAGTGAAATCCTGGTAGAACTTGATCTTGTGGTATTGGAAAGTGACGTCGCCGTGTTCCCTTGCCCACCGAAGGACGAGCTCCTTTTCGGTGCAAGGCTGCTGTGGGCTCTATCGAGTTCAGGAAGATTGGGAAAAGCCTCAGCACCCAAAACCTTCTTGAACAGCTCCGCCATGAACAGGGTTGGAGATCCTGTCTCAGAATCCTCTGGCAGTCCAATCACACTGATATTTTTGAGTTTTGAACATGAAATAAAATCATCCACTTGTAGTTGCAGTGACTTGTTGGCGGCGGCCACATCGTCAAGCCTGGTTTTCAACGTAGTGAGTTGGTCGCTGTGGCCCGACAGCCCAGCCTCAACTTCGGCCAGTGTGGTAGTGTGAGATGTCACAGAACCATGGATGGTTTCCACGGTTGCCTGAATTGGAGCCAGAGCAGCCGCCAGTGAGTTATTCAGCAGTTCGATGAATTCTGCTGCCAAACTTTCACGTGATTTCGCCAGCTCTCTGACAAGGATCTCCAGTGTTATCGTGTTAGCCGTATTGCCCGGAGTGGCTATTGAAGCCTTCAATGAAGGTGGGATGGTAGCCATTTTAGCTGAAGTTGATTTGGTGGAGTGTCGATTTTCCAAAGCGTGTGACTGGTTTGCTCATGCTAACTTAGGTACACTCTTTTACTGGGTAATAAAAATAATGTTTGTGGTCATGAGAAGTATGAATTTAGGTGAAAATGAAGATTATTTACAAAAGGTTGTCGGAGGATAGACCTCGTGCGACTTCTTTCTACATCACTCAACCGGAAGCCACTTTGCAACTACTTCCTACTTTTTAGCTACTTTGCAACTACTTAGCATGTTAGCTAACCCTAACCCTAACCCTAACCTTAACCCTTTAACCTAACTCTTAACCCTAACCCCTAACCCTTAGCCTAGCTAATGTTACCCAACAAATTGTAATTCGTAACATACCATACGTATTGCAAATTCGTACCATATCATACGAATTGTAATTCGCAACATATCATACGAAATGGATGATGGACATCCACAAATTAATACATACCATACATAACGTAACATATCATACTAATTTAAATGTCCCAGATATATATATCTTCTTCTCCCCAATTTCGATCTTGTCTCTCCAACGGGCTCGGGAGGTGAAGGTCGAGTCATGCGTCCTCCGAAACATGACCCGCCTAACCGCGCTCCTTAACACCTGCCCGCTTAACCCGAAAGCCAGCTGCACCAATGTGTTGGAGGAAAAACCGTTCAACTGACAACTGAGGTCAGCCTCGGTTACCTCCAACAGTAAATGGAAAAGTTCTGTTTCCGAGCAGGGCCCACGTTAAAGATTCACTGGGCCTTTGTAATGATTGTTGTTGTTGTTGTTGTTGTTGTATAGAGGTGTGTGTGTACGTGCGTGCGTGCATGCTTGCTTGCCTGTGTCTCCTGTCTCCTTGCTTGAGGAATGTGTGTAGAGTTTGGGGGAAGGGTTGGCGGTTTGGTAGACAGTATGTTTTCAGGAGGGTAGGCAGTCCGCACTGTGTTGAACTTGACCTGACAGTGTCAGAGTATTCACACTAGACAGTTAACTAAGGTAGAGTGGATTGTTACTGTCTTAATCCAATGTTTGTACACTGACACCTTTGTGACACACATGCACGCACACACACACACACACAACAACACGCACACTAATTGGGATCTGAATGGATTATAGTAGTCCATCCCCTAGGATACAGTCTGTGTACTAGTGTTAATGGAATGCTGTACACAGAGGTCAACACAAAAGAGCCTTTCACACTGTTAAGGTACACTGGTAGTAACCACTCTAAACCATTTCATTCACTGATTCCCCATACAGTACCTCTATGTGATTATATTTACTATTTATATGGTTGGAACCAATCTGTACTCCATGTACACTGGTTCAAGTGGTTGTATACTGCTTCCACCATTGTGTAAATACATCCAATAGTATTACTGTACTGTATTATATTACCTCTCAGGAAAATTGCTTTTCAAACATGATGACATACTAGGCTGTTCTATTGAGAGCGTACAGACAGAGCGGTGATGTGGCTTTTCGTTAATACCTGATATTTGAATTGTGAAGGTCACTGTCAATCCATGGATATATTGTGATTCAGCACCACTTTTTCAATATCAACAGACACGTAATTACATACGCAACTAATCTTGAACAATATTATATATAATATCGAAAGAGTGTTCGCCTACACTATAGTCGAACGCATACATTTAGTCGAACACCTACACTATATTGTGATTCAGCACCACTTCAAAATTATTTATATACTTGTTACAGTTACAGTCCTAAAGCTGTTCCGGAGAGAAAAGTACAGTATGTCACAAAACCAAATGTGTGAAGATAAATTAACAGTGATCTAAGCCTTGCAGGAACCTACCCTGACATGAACCAACCTCTGCTATATTGTAGATTCAGAGCTATCTATCTAATAGAACTCAGAGGTTTTTCTTTAACGGAAGCTTCTTCTCTAAAGTCAAACATGCAAAGTGTGGTGTACCGCAGGGCAGCTCTCTAGGCCCTCTACTGTTTTCTATTTTTACCTATGACCTGCCACTGGCATTAAACAAAGTATGTGTGTCAATGTATGCTGGTGATTCAACCATATACGCATCAGCAACCACAGCTAATGAAGTCACTGTAACCCTTAACAAAGAGTTGCAGTCTGTTTTGGAATGGGTGGCCAGTAATAAACGGGTCCTGAATGTCTCTAATACTAAGAGCATTGTATTTGGTACAAATAATTTCCTAAGCTCTAGACCTCAGCTGAATCTGGTAATGAATGGTGTGGCTGTTGAACAAGTTGAGGAGACTAAATTACTTGGTGTTACCTTAGATTGTAAACTGTCATGGTCAAAACATCTATATTTAATGGTTGTAAAGATGGGGAGAGGTGTGTCTGTAATAAAGAGATGTTCTGCTTTTTTTGACACCACACTCCAAAAAGCAAGTCCTACAGGATCTAGTTTTGCCTTATCTTGATTATTGTCCAGTCGTGTGGTCAAGTGCTGCAAGGAAATACCTAGTTTAGCTGCAGCTGGCCCAGAACAGAGTGGCACGTCTTGCCCTTCATTGTAATCAGAGGGCTAATATAAATACTATGCATGCCAGTGTCTCTTGGCTAAGAGTTGAGGAGAGACTGACTGCATCACTACTTATTTTTGTAAGAAACATTACAATTCCAAATTGTTTGCATAGTCAACTTACACACAGCTCTGACACACATACTTACCCCCCCCCCCCCCCCCCCCCCCCCCCTTCTTCCCTCTGCTTGGCTCCAGCATCGCAATGTTTTGCACATTCCATTTCCTGTGTTTAAATCTGACATGCAGGTTTTGTTCTTATTTTCATTTTTCGCCAAACTGAATATGATAATGTCGCCAGGGAATTGCTAGATGAAAATATTTCTGTAGCGCCGTCATTTCTTTGTGTGTGCAGACGAGATGAATTGTACAGCAGCAGCGTTGGGAAACAATGCAACATAGATTATAATGAAATCAGCCCGCTCTTCTTTTCGCTCTGAAGAGCTGGGTTTGATGACGGTGTTTGAAAACTAAACTGGATTAGCAATAAGTATCTTTCCATTGATATTTCTCAAATGTTCTGCTTTCTGTGTGTGTGTAGTTGTGTGTGTGTGTGTGTGTGTGTGTTTGTACGTGTAATGACTTCCTCTCCAATCAATGAATGCAACACTTGTGTGATTGGATGAATCACATCTCAGACAGACTGTGACTGGATGAAGTGAATCTCAAACAAACATACTGTATTTCAATCTGATCAGCCAGCAGTTTGCTACTCTACAATTTGACATCCCATTCAAAATCAATTTCCGAAGCATTTACTGAACCCTTTAAAAAAGTTTTGCACTGTTGCTGACCCCATGCTGCCTCTAACCTCTCAACTGTTGTGTTTGTTGTCTCAAGAGGTTGGGGAAAAGCATACATACACATTTCCCTTCTAAACAATTGGGCAGAACCATTTTCTCCATTATTGTTCTGCGAATAGCAGAAAAACACCTTTAAGTGTATCTTCTGTCTACAGTGCCAAATAAAGGGCAATGCACAATCACTCCTGTGGCTGCCACTTAAACACACACATGGATTGCACTTCTCAAAATGTTTGGTGTGTCTGTCTGTATGTTCTCTCCACAGCGCTGAAGAAGGGGCGTTTCTGGATCACCCCTGACCCCTACCACAACGACGACAACATCCAAATTGGCCGCGAGGTCAAGATCTCCTGCCAGGTATGAACACACACACACCATCCCCTTTTCACACGCATACTCAACTATCCACTCCTTGCAGGTGGAGGCCACGCCCCCCGAGGAGCTGACATTTGGTTGGCTGAAGAACGGGCGCGCCATGCGGAGCTCTGAGCGAATGGTGATCACCCAGACGGACCCTGACATTTCCCCAGGCACCACTAACCTGGACATCATCGACCTGAAGTTCACTGACTTTGGCACCTACACCTGTGTGGCTGCGCTGAAGGGAGGGGGCATACCTGAGATCAGCATAGACGTCAACATCTCCTCCACTACTGGTGAGTCTCACACACCGCTATGTCAGAGCAGGAGATATAGCTATACACTTCCCCACACTCAGCGATAACACACACACATCAGCATTTCAAGACTATACACACACACACACACACACACACACACACACACACACACACAGCAATAGAAATGTTCACTTTTGCTGAAACATACACACTCTAGAGAAATAAACTTTCAGAATTCCTCTATTTCACACAAACACATAAAATGGTAACCTATTGAATTTGCCCCTATTCAATTGGCATGTGGTAGTGTTTCCACAATGTGACCTATTTCCTGCCCGAAACTAATCTGAACCAAACATCCAATCCTACTGCCTGGTACCCAAACTCAATTTAGGGCTTCCTCCCAAATATCACCATATTCCCTATATAGTGCATTACTTTTGACCCGGGCTCTGATCAAAAGTAGTGCACTAAATAGGGAATAGGGTGCCATTTGGGATGCAGCCATGCTCTAAAACTAAATCCATTCCCTCCTTTCATCTAATTGGCTGCTGCTACTACCATTTGTGTGACTAACATGACATACATTCACTACATGCATCATGTCTCTGGGAGACTTTAGATAAGGATGTTCTGGTGATTTAGAATGGTGGCTTCATTACAAGAGAATAACCTGAAGATATTCAGCACATACCCAACACAGTGAGTTTGTGGAGGGTACCATCGATATAGTAGGAAAATAAAAGGGCAGAAGTTTGTATTGGTAGTGGTTAGGAAAAGAATGGTAGGAGATAAGGAGGAGAAGAGAGCTATGGGTTAGAGAGGAGAAGTGATCACACTGGGTCGGGAGGGGGGTATCATGTGTCATCACCACTTAGAGGTCAATCAATGACCTCCCATTCTGCTGTGTTGTGCCGCCTCCCATTACCCCATTGCTCATCTCCTTTGCTAGCGGACGGGACCTGATCGATAACGTCCCGCAGAAGAGAGGTGCTCTGATTGGGAATTTCCACTTGGAATCCCTCTGCCATACAATCATGCAGTCTCTCATCTTGACCGTTGTCGCTCCGAGATTGGAATGACCAAAGGGAGGTGGTTGTGTTCTTGAAGAAACATTCAGAGTTTGCTGGCTGCCGATTTGGTGTGTTTGAAAGGCGCCAGGGGATGGTGGCTTCCTGATAAGTGTGTGTGTTTGTGTGTGTGTGTGTGTGTGTGTGTGTGTGTGTGTGTGTGTGTAGCTATGGCAAGCCTCCTCTCTCTCTTTACTACACACACTCTGTGACAGCACACCCTGCTGCCATTCACTGCAGCAACATGAAAGCCTGTTGTCGACCTTTGTGCATAATTACCGTAAAAGAATCCTTTGATAATCCCCCATGCTATAAAACAGTGGGATCAATCGTACCTGTCCAGTTTGTTTCCTCAATATCTACTAAGTAGTGCATCCTTTCCGTTTGGAGTGTGTCTGTGTTTGTGTGTGTGTGTGTGTGTGTGCCTGGCCGAGACCCACCGACGCAGAAACACACTCTTTAATGTGAACCATCACTGCTGCTGTCTGAGAGAAGAAGAGAGAAACACAAAGGAAATACCTGTCTTTATGATTATCATATAATATGAAAGGGCCTTTTGTGCTTGGATGGGATTGTTTTTTAGCGTGCTTGTTTTTTAAGGTGGAGGTTGTTTTAAGTTGCGGCGGTTGGATGATGTTTAATACGATGAAAGAGTTGTGTGAAGACACAGTGAATCATGTACAGGTAGAGGAAAAAACAAACATATTATTCTATTGTGTACTGCTTTCGTCATTGCCCTTCTGTAGCTTTCTTTGAGGACTACATTGAGATGTTCTGAAGTAGTATGATCACTGTGTAGAGAGAAAATGGTGTCTCTTTTTATTTTTTTAGGGTGTAGATCAGCTTTAATATTGCAGATAGATTATAACTTCCATCAATGTAATTGTCTGCAACACTTCCAATCCCCCAAAAGTTTTATTTTTTTCTTCTCGCAAATATATATATATATATATATATATACACACACACACACATATACACATACATACAGTGGGGGAAAAAAAGTATTTAGTCAGCCACCAATTGTGCAAGTTCTCCCACTTAAAAAGATGAGACAGGCCTGTAATTTTCATCATAGGTACACTTCAACTATGACAGACAAAATGAGAAAAAAAAATCCTGAAAATCACATTGTAGGATTTTTAATGAATTTATTTGCAAATTATGGTGGAAAATAAGTATTTGGTCAATAACAAAAGTTTCTCAATACTTTGTTATATACCCTTTGTTGGCAATGACACAGGTCAAACGTTTTCTGTAAGTCTTCACAAGGATTTCACACACTGTTGCTGGTATTTTGGCCCATTCCTCCATGCAGATCTCCTCTAGAGCAGTGATGTTTTGGGGCTGTCGCTGGGCCACACGGACTTTCAACTCCCTCCAAAGATTTTCTATGGGGTTGAGATCTGGTGACTGGCTAGGCCACTCCAGGACATTGAAATGCTTCTTACGAAGCCACTCCTTCGTTGCCCGGGCGGTGTGTTTGGGATCATTGTCATGCTGAAAGACCCAGCCACGTTTCATCTTCAATGCCCTTGCTGATAGAAGGAGGTTTTCACTCAAAATCTCACGATACATGGCCCCATTCATTCTTTCCTTTACACGGATCAATCGTCCTGGTCACTTTGCAGAAAAACAGCCCCAAAGCATGATGTTTACACCCCCATGCTTCACAGTAGGTATGGTGTTCTTTGGATGCAACTCAGCATTCTTTGTCCTCCAAACACGACGAGTTGAGTTTTTACCAAAAAGTTATATTTTGGTTTCATCTGACCATATGACATTCTCCCAATCCTCTTCTGGATCATCCAAATGCACTCTAGCAAACTTCAGACGGGCCTGGACATGTACTGGCTTAAGCAGGGGGACACGTCTGGCACTGCAGGATTTGAGTCCCTGGCTGCGTAGTGTGTTACTGATGGTAGGCTTTGTTACTTTGGTCCCAGCTCTCTGCAGGTCATGCACTAGGTCCCCCCGTGTGGTTCTGGGATTTTTGCTCACCGTTCTTGTGATCATTTTGACCCCACGGGGTGCCCCAGATCTAGGGAGATTATCAGTGGTCTTGTATGTCTTCCATTTCCTAATAATTGCTCCCACAGTTGATTTCTTCAAACCAAGCTGCTTACCTATTGCAGATTCAGTCTTCCCAGCCTGGTGCAGGTCTACAATTTAGTTTCTGGTGTCCTTTGACAGCTCTTTGGTCTTGGCCATAGTGGAGTTTGGAGTGTGACTGTTTGAGGTTGTGTACAGGTGTCTTTTATACTGAAAACAAGTTCAAACAGGTGCCATTAATACAGGTAACGAGTGGAGGACACAGGAGCCACTTAAAGAAGAAGTTACCTATGATGAAAATTACAGGCCTCTCTCATCTTTTTAAGTGGGAGAACTTGCACAATTGGTGGCTGACTAAATACTTTTTTTTCCCACTGTACATGTACATTTCCTTTTTTAAAACATTACTTTCCAACCTCACCACCCCTTCCCTAATTGGAGTAAACTAGTGAACAACAATGCTTAGGTCTCTACTTCCAGCTAATACATACTATATACATTTTATGGACACAGTCAATTTTACAATAATTATATTTTGTTTGTTTTTACTCCTGAACTTCCTCTACCCTCATCCTCGCCGATCATTTTCATGTTTGCTTCTATATGCCATATCTTTCTAACTGTTCTCTTTCACAAAAGCTCTCAACCTATAACCTATATACTTATTATGGACACAGTATGCTTACATTATTAGCTATCTTGTTGTTATTAGTTGTTGTTAGTTGTTATTACTTCCATCCTTCAACTCCATTCAACACCACCCATCTATCTCTTAACACCATCCATATTGGATATCTATTTGCCATATATTTTTCAGCTGTACTGTGATGTTTTACAATAGTTCTGAACCTTTCTATTCTCATTTTTTCTACAGATTTTCAATTGAAAATGGGTGTGTCTCTTTGTTTTGTATCCTGACTGTTGCTATGTTGTTGTTAACCAATGATGCAGCAGTTTATTAGCCTATTAGGCAATGGTGCTTCTGTGCACTGAGTGGTTAGTCTCGGTCCTGGCTGGTGGTCTGTTTGGGCTAACTAAGCTGTTTCTGCTGTTCTCCAGAAGGGAGAGAGAGACTAGTGGTAATTACTGTCTCTTAATATAATCATTTAGAGCAGATTACACTGCAGCTCTGCCAGGGCCACACGCCATGGAAGTGTTTTAAAAAAGATGGGGCCTCACGCTGTTGAAGTATTTGGAAAGAGATGGGGCCTCACGCCCTAGAAGTGTTCGGATAGAGATGGAGTCTAAAGTATCTCAATCCTGAACACTGTGAAACTCTCTCACAGCCAAGCGCGGACCCAGGCCGGTCCAACTAAACCTAGCACAGCTCAGTCTATCCCAGGTCCAGCCCTAGTCATGCTTAACCACCCCTGCCAGCCCACCCCAGCCTCTAATAGCCTACTCCAGTCCTAGTCCCCCAGCACCAGCCAAGCCCAACACTCATTATCTACAACACAGAGAGGGAATATTCCTACTCTACTGTACTTTTAACTACACTTTTATACCCACAGCTTTTATTAGTTTCCCCCTCACAAAATAGCGCTAATATTTACAATCATCGCACACTCATTAACTAGCAAAGTCTTTTTTTTCTTTTGGGCACCCTGAGATTGCACAGTTAATGGTTTATTCATGAGCAGAATCCAAACGAGAGCCCATAATTCCCCATCCAATACCAACAGGATTAAAAGACTGACAAAAAGAAAAGAGGAACAGAGGAAAAGAGGAGGGCGCCTCCATTTTCATGCTATGAGGTAAAATGCAATTAATCTTCACTTTAGTGTCCCCCTTAAAAGGCCTACTGCAGTCTAAAACCTGATTTTCCTGTGTTTTGTATATATTTTCACACTATGAGGTTGGAATAATACTGTGATTATTTTTTTATTTTTTTATATGATAATGCCCTTTTAGTGTAAGAGCTGTTTGACAATAATGCCTGAAATGTCAGCCTGTTTTGGTGGGATGGAGCTTTGGCATGCCTGGTGACATCACCTGGCAGTAAATTAGTTAATAGCAGAGGTGGAAAAAGTACTGAAATATCCTACTGAAGTATAATTACTGTTACTATAGTACAATTTACTCAAGTAGAAGTAAAACTACTGATGTAAAAAACAACTCATGTAAAAGTAAAAAGTAGCTCATTTAAAAAGTAAAAGTAATGTAGTTACTTTTAAAATAAAAACATTGACCTTGATAATTAACTAAATTGAATGAGCAAACCATTGAGACCCCCTAAAATAGAAAAGGGTCTATAGATGTTGCAATAGATTGATAAACTATAGGCTACATGTACAGAGTACATTCAGTTATGTAGTGTCCCTTCAGCAAAAACAAAGGAGTTCTGTTTTAACGCCTTCACTTCTCTCTGAACTTGCTGTTCAGTTTCAGCAGAAGCTGATTTTCAAAGTGAATCGAGTCTTTGCAGTGAAGAGCAGTCCAACACAGCTAAAAAGACACTTACAGGCTGCAGAGGCAGGCAGGCCTGTGTTCAGTTTGAGAGACAGGTTCTTTATGTATGGAAAGGAATGAAGCAACTCCATTTTGTCTGACACACAGGCAAGGTACCCATCCAGCTCCCCTGTACCTTGTGACCTTTTGGGCATTAGTGTTGAGAAGAAATCATTTTTATCAGATGAATGATGCCTCTGTTGCTCTGTCTCGACCTCTGTCATTGTATCAAGATTATGCTTCAGGTAGACCAAACCTGCATAGTGGCAAATACACAACATACAAATAATGTAATATTTCTGCATTGCTTTATGTGGCCACTTAGTTCATCATATCACTGACATTACAATAGCCCAAACACAGACTTTCCATACTTGTTATTCTCAGATACAGAGCTGAAGTGAGTTTTTGTAGACTCACACGGTTATGTGCAAGGTTAATTAATTTAAACAAGCCCATCTATTATTCTTCCTCACTTTAAAAACACACACAATAAAATGAGAATGATGTGTAGACCAATCATTACTTGTGAGAGACAATGATGTTGAATGAATACATCAATCATGAAAGTGAATGTAATGAATGATAGGCCTACTTCAACTCTCATTAATGTGTAATGAACTGCTTCATAAAGGTGTTATGAATGCTTATGTAAAGTTTAGGCCCCAGACCCCAGTTATAGTAGTTTTACCCACCAAACATGCATTTTATGTGATTGAATTATGTGACATTTGGATATTCTATGCTTTCATACTTCATCTGAGTGATCTAACCAAATATAGTTAGCTAAAGAAGAATACAAATTTACCTATTCTATCTGAGACTGAGTCTGGCTTTTAGATTAACGTTATCCTAATTTTGACAAACATAGTACATAACTAAAATTCCTAGCTAGGTCTATTTAAATATGTGATGACCAAGCAAGCTAACGTTAGCTAGCTAGCTAGTTCACTTACTGACGTTAGCCTAGCTAATGTTGTTAGCTAGCCCAGATAACTTACATAACTTACATGGCTAGCTAGCTATCTAGCCACCACCACACATAGTGACACTGCTAGCCACAATAACGGGTATTACAATTGGGTGGTGGTTAGTCATGTAGCTAGCTAGCTAACTTAGCTGCAAGTATAGCTAGCTAACATTAGCATGCTAGCATCCTGTGTAGCTCAGTTGGTAGAGCATGGCATTTGCAACGCCAGGGTTGTGGGTTCGATTCCCACGGGGGGCCAGTATGAAAGATATATGCACTCACTAACTGTAAGTCGCTCTGGATAAGAGCGTCTGCTAAATGACTAAAATGTAAATGTAGCATGCTAGACAACTAGGCTACTAGCTGCTAAAGCCATCCATAGCTAAATTGTTGACCATTCATATCTAGTTAGCTATCTTACCTCTACATGTTTTGATTGGTCACTGACTAAACAGCGATGAGACACTCAGACTAACCTATGGTGGCGTCCTTGGCATGCCCTTAATCAACCTAACTGTCCTTATTCCTATCCTCCTTCACTTTGACTGAAACAGATTCCTCATCGAAACTAGTATGTACTGAACTTTATCAGTGGATTGCACAAGATAAAGTATTTTGGAATAGTAGGAGAATAGACAAACCTGCTTTCAGTTAGCCCTATCCTTCTTCACTCTGTCTTTAAATCCCATTGAGCTACTAATTAAAACCAGTGGTACATTGGTCATGATCAGAACATTGTAGTAGCATTACACCTGTGGTTGCACACACACAAAATAGAACACCTTGCCTATTAGCGATGGGATACAAATATTTCTAATTCCACATCATACTCCCAGTGGTCTCCAATCCAGTCCCAGAGAGCTACAAGCTCCACTGGTTTTCATCCTAGCTCCTAGCTCAGCCCGAGCCATGTAGTAATTGATTAACAATAATAATTTTGGGGATAGAAAATCACCTCCCTCTCTTCCATGTTTAATTAATGAATCTGCTCCTGATAAGCAGTTTCTCAATCATCAGCCATTTCCACACCTGGGATACCCAATAGCACACGGTGGCTTTCCAACCAAATGAATAACTTCACTTAATAAAAATCAATGAAAGGGCTGAATTGATTCAAAATAAGGCACCAAGCTGTATTAATAATAAACACTGGTAAGAGCCACTGGCCTTCCAGAAGCATCGTTAGACTTGGAGACCACCTCAAATTTGTTTTATTTAATTTGAGATATCTGACTCGGGTAACATTACTCTCTGGGACCCTTCTCTACTTAATTCAGCCCCACCACACTCGCTTAAATGGGAACTGCACCCACTGATTTGGCCTTGTTTTTTGGCTTTCTGCTCAAGAAATGCTGGCGGCCATGACAGAAACCAAACGTGAGTTGGCTTCGGGGTGTGGTTTGATGTGAGTGTTTCTTGGGTGTGTCCTTACCATCACCAATCTGTCAGAACCTTGCCCCGAGCTGTTTCCCCCCACTCAGTCACAACAAACAAACCTCCTGCAGGTTGAGTTCAATAACTACAGGCATATGTATGGTGTGTGTCACGATCGTCTGAAGGATTGGACCAATGCGCAGCGTTGCGAGTGAACATGATAACTTTATTAATTAAAGCAACCACGAAGAAAACAACAAAATAACGATACGTGAAGTTCTAAACTGAAAATACGACTAACAGCTACAAAGAAACAATAACCCACAACACAAAGGAGAAAACACACAGAATATATATGGCTCCCAATCAGAGATAACGAGCCGACAGCTGACACTCGTTACCTCCGATTGGGAGTCATCGACCAATCACCACATGACACAAACAAAATGAAACTCACCCATCCCCAACACCACCAAATGAAATACACCCAAACACAAGAAAATGAACAACCCTGGCTCAATATAAACGTCCATAGAGCCAGAGTGTTACAGTACCCCCCCCTAAAGGTGCGAACTCCGGGCGCACCAACATCAGGACTAGGGGAGGGTCTGGGTGGGCGTCTGTCCATGGTGGCGGCTCTGGCCCCGGTCGTGATCCCCACCCCACCACAGTCACAACCTGCTTCGGTAGCCTCCTCCCAATGACCACCCTCCACCTAACCCCACCTGGACTAAGGGGCAACCCCGGACTAAGGGGCAGCATCGGCCTAAGGGGCAGCACCGGGATAAGGGGCAGCACCGGGATAAGGGGCAGCACCGGGACAAGGGGCAGCACCGGACTACGGGGCAGTACCGGACTAAAGGGCAGTACAGGACTAAGGGGCAGCACCGGGCTAAGGGGCAGTACCGGACTACGGGGCAGCACCGGGCTAAGGGGCGGCACCGGACTCAGGGGCAGCACCGGACTAAGGGGCAGCACCGGGCTAAAGGGCAGCACCGGGCTAAAGGGCAGCACCGGACTAAGGGGCAGCACCGGACTAAGGGGCAGCACCGGGCTAAAGGGCAGCACCGGCCTAAGGGGCAGCACCGGACTAAGGGGCAGTACCGGACTACGGGGCAGCACCGGGCTAAGGGGCGGCACCGGACTCAGGGGCAGCACCGGACTAAGGGGCAGCACCGGGCTAAGGGGCAGCACCGGGCTAAGGGGCAGTACCTGACTAGATGGTGGATCCTGGCTGGCTGGCTCTGGCGGATCCTGGCGGGACGGCTCTGGTGGATCCTGGCGGAACGGCTCTGGCGGATCCTGGCGGGACGGCTCTGGCGGATCCAGGCTGGACGGCTCTGGCGGATCCCGGCTAGACGGCTCTGGCGGATCCCGGCTGGACGGCTCTGGCGGATCCCGGCTGGACGGCTCTGGCGGATCCCGGCTGGACGGCTCTGGCGGATCCTGGCTGGACGGCTCTGGCGGATCCTGGCTGGACGGCTCTGGCGGATCCTGGCTGGACGGCTCTGGCGGATCCTGGCGGGACGGCTCTGGCGGATCCTGGCGGGACGGCTCTGGCG